AGATTTATAACATGATAGGTTTGAAAAAATCTATATCACTTTTAATTATTTAAAATAAATTATATTCATGGAATTTTAATGAAATAGCATTTTAATGAAATAGCGAGTTAATTATTTTTTACATTAATTTTAAAATAAATCAAATTAATGAATTTTATCACTTAGCATTTGACTTTTTTTATTTATCTTTATAAATTTTAATATTTTCAATCCATATTACTGAATACATGTCTATTTACCTTTATTTTAATAATAAAAAATCACGCTATATTTTTTTTTTACTATTTATATAACTTTATAATAATTTTTTAATAGCAAAATAAAAGAAATTTCATTTAGGAATCTATAAATTATATATATTTTTTTTTGAAGAGAAAATGACCACTATGTTATTAAATGTAATGGGAAAGGAGAACATTAGAGGCGCTCTCCCAAATACAAAGTGGTAAAAAGCGAATGAATGCTCTAGCAAGGGAATGAGCAGCACTATTTATAGTACTCCGAATCCATCTAATATGAATATCTGGCCTATCAACTAAGAGTTGCTTACAATCTTCCACAATAACCCCAAATTCCGAAAGATCTAAAGTTTGAGAATTCAAATAACCCCAAATTCCGAAAGATCTAAAGTTTGAGAATTCAAAGCACAAAATAAAACCTGGCAATCAACAAAAATATAACCACTAGACTGATAATGAGCACCAATAAAAAGTAGAGCAGAACGAAGAGCCAAAGCTGCAGCTGTAGCAGGCAGCTTGCATCCCGCAGAATGAGTAGACACTGCTTGCAAGAACCTGCCTTTACCATCCTCAAACACCACCGCACCACCTGTTACATCTTCTCTTGGAAATAGTGAAGCATCACAAAACGCATGTCAACCAACATCACCCAAGTTGACACACGACCCCACACTTGGCCCATTTCCATGCAAAATTCTGTGTCTTGTAGCTACGCTTAAATTAACAAAAGAACGACATTCCATACAATGAGTAGAAACCATGCATGCAATCTGGGCGGGTTGCAGCAAGGTTGCCGACCAGCAAAATTAATTCCGTGCCTTCCATAAATTCCATGCCAGAAAAGCCAATAGTTCAGCTTGTTGTTGTCCAAGGCCATCCCAACACTGCATAAATAAATCAATAAAAGTTGCAGTTATACTGGGAATATTAAAACCAAGCAAACTCCAACAAGCATTTGCCCTAACACAATGACACAACACATGCTCACCATCTTCTTTAGAAGGACAGAAAAAACAAAGATCATCAACCGTTAGACCACGTTTCACAAGGTTAGATTTTGTAGGTAGTACATCTCTACAAGCCCGCCACAAAAACTCCCTTATTTTAGGAGGGACATTAAGGGTCCAAATACGCTTCCATAACCGTGGATTCCCAACATTATGACGACCCCCCACTAGACCCATACTAACATGATATCCAGATTTAACCGTATACACTCCACGATTCTCATCATGCCATAAGACAACATCCTCCACCATATGAATAGACAAAGGTATAGACAAAATAGCCTTCACATCTCTAGCAGAAAATGACATCATCAGCTTGCCCACATCCCACCTTTTCTCACCATCCACAAAAAAATCACAAACTCTAGCCACAGGACTAATGAATCTAGCCCCATCGTCCGCAAGAAAAGAGTCATGCTTAGGGATCCAAGGCTCCGAAGCAGCATAAATACCTCTACCATCCCCAACACGCCAACGCACCCCTTTCTTAAGCAAATTAACAGACGCAAAGATACTCGACCACACAAAGTTCGGATTATTACCCTTTTGAGCTGTGAAAAAATCCCCCCTCGGGAAATATTTAACTTTGAAAATTCTGTAAAAAAGAGTGTCTTTCCCTTTTAGTAACCGCCACCCCTGCTTAGCAAGCATAGCCAGATTAAAATGCCGAAGATCACGGAAACCCATATCACCTTGCTGCTTAGAAATTATATATAATTTATATATATATATATTAATATATATATATTCTTTTTTAAAATTTTTCTTTTTTTTCTTTTTTTTTAACCGTGAGCACGGGATGTTGCTAAGTTTCTTTGATATAACCAAAGAGAAGGGGACAAACAAAATGTTTTTTCTATGCATTTGCTAAAAATTAAGTGAGAAAGAAAATTAAAAAAGAAGAAAAGAGGATATTTCTAAAAAAAAAAAAAAAAAAAAAAGAAAAGAAAAAAAAAAAAAAAAAAAAAAAGAAAAGTGCTTCTTTTTCGTTTTTGTCAAAGATAAAACAATGAAATAAATAAATGTCAAAGTCAATGTCAAGAAATGAACACCCAGTCATTATCTTTGTCAAATATTGCCGGTTCATTGTCAATTAGACAATGAACAAATTATTTGATGCACTCAATTGAAAAAAATAATAATAAATTGAAAATTGAGAATTATATATATATTTTTTTATCTTATCCTTCTTTTATATGTTCCCATTTGCTAAATCTTGAGGAAATAAAATCCAATGTAATTAATATTTTTATTTGATGAGTTGTCATGAAAAATAATGAAATAAAATCATATGTGTTTTTAATATATAAATATTATATTAAAAATGCATTTGATTATTATAAAATCCTCTAAATAATATCGATCTTAAAATCTAAATAATTGATCTTGCAAGTAAAATTTACTTAAAAATGCAATCTATTTTGCTGTTTCAACTAATTGTTAGCGTTTGATTATACTATACTGCATTTTATTATAGTTAACCATACGGTAAATTTTTATTCTTTTATTTTTTAAAAAATCTAAATATATTTCTAATATAATATTTATATTAAAAATATATATTTGAATTGATACTATATTTTATTATGACTCACTAATGAGTATATTTTAATATATTTTAGAGTTAAATATAGATATGTTAAATTGATCTTATCTTCAACACTTCTAGATTACATTTATTTTATATTATTTCAAGTATATGCAAGAACATGATTGGTCCTAAGAATCACTAATCTAAGTGTCATTTTAAATTATTTGCTGCTATGAGAAGCCAAATGAATAATATTAAATAAATCTGTGCAGAAGGGATGTTTTAAGATCTCAATGGACAAACTTTCGAAACTATAATAATAATAATAATAATAATAATAATAATAATAATAAAATAAATAATAATAATAATACCAAAAATTCTTTATTCAGATAGAGAATTTCAGAAAGAGAAAAAGTTATAGCTAGAGGCAAATACACTTTCGTTTTTTTTTATCCTGAAAAAGATAAATATTAAGTATTTTATCCAATAAAAAATAGACACTAATAAAGCAAAACTACCCTGAATCTATAATAGTAAGCATATATATATATATATATATATATATATATATATATATATTATATTCCTTTATTGGAATAAATGGAAAATTAATTAAAAATTAATTTCGCCATTTTAAATTGAAAATTAATATAAAAATTAATTTCGCCATTTAAAAAAAAATACCATAATTTGATGGCATTATAATTTTTATATTTTTATTAAATTAAAATCTTAAATTATATTTTCTTATAGTTTTTCCTTGTTTATTTGAAAGATTTATATTTGGTATATAATAATTAGTTATCATTAAAGTATGATTATATATATTATGAAAATTAAAAATGTATAAACCAATAAATACACGTGGATATCATTAAAATAAAGGTGATTATTGATTGATTTAATAATTAATTTATTGCAAAATCAAGAAATATTCAAACATAATCGAAATTTAATTCATACAGATTAAATCAAGAAATACCTTCAGCCTCTCTGAATTAGTTATAAATTAAAAATAGAATGCAAAGTAATTTATTTTCTAAAAATATATAATCTAATAGTTAAAACTAATTATGGTAACATATATAAGTAATTTCTAACAAAAAAATAGAAATTGATTAATCATTTTAAAATTTACTTGTGTATCTTATTTTAATTATAGGGTGCACTTAATTATTTTACGGTATGAAAAAAAAAATTTAAATTGCTCATAATGTTGCATTACCCTATTATTTTTCTTAATTTCAATAATGGATGTGATTAATCTCTAAATTTTATTTTAGATGGTAAAAAAATTAAAAATAGGATGCACCTGTAATAACTCATAGAATTCTTTGCATTTTTTTAATTAATCCTAAAAATAATTAAACAAATAGAGATATTAACAAGTCAAATTAATTTTATATTATTTGAATTTGATAAGTAAATTAACAAAATTCAATGCAAAATCAGTTAAAATTGAATTCATGAAAACTAGAAGAGAGCCTAGGAAAATATTATATGCAAATTTTCATGAAAAATCATAATATAATTTTTTGAGAATATACTTTCTTTTTTAATCTATAAAAAAATTTTGTGATTTTGGAAATTAAAAAAAAATAGCAATAAAGAAATGGATAATATAAAAGATAACGAAAAGACATAATAGAAAAGATAAAATATTTTAACGCTACAAAATTTTATTTTAAACAATTATTATATTTTTTATTTTGAGCTAAAAATTTAATTCAAATAAATCATAAGTATGATTGAGAAAAATAATAAATTATATACTATTTTATGATCACGTAATGATTATAGATACAAAGATAACTACACATTCATTTATTATAAACTTAGAATCACATAAATCAAATAAATATAATTTCAAAAATATATTATGATTAGCAAATTAATTTAATATTTTCTTCGTTCCATAATAGATTTTAACTAATTTGAATTTATCTACCACTTAAAATTTGGACGATTGTAATCAAAATTTTCAATACGAATTATTTATTTATTTTACAATAATTAATAAAGCTCATGCTAACTCAAAACTTAAAAGATATTTTATAATTAATTTTATTAAAATAAAATCTGATTGTCACGTATATAAAAACTTTTTCTAAAAAAATAAAAAAAAGGAATTAAGAGTAGCTATACAAATGCGAGAAGGTACAAATACTGTTATATACAGCGTATTCTAAACTCCCAATAAGAAGTTAACCAGCAGATAATATATTCATTCATGTCAGAAAGAAGAGGTGATCGAACATTGTCAGGTTACTGTCAGCACTTACTCAAAACAGAAAAACCAGAACACACCAAAATAAATTAAAAAAAATTCCAAAAATCTAAAAATCTCCAGAAAAACAATTAGACACAAAACGGTAAACACTTTCACTCTCTTCTTCTTCTTCTACTTAAATTTGATCAATAGCAACAGTGTCGCTTCAATTTGTTCTGGTTTTGGCTTTTCGAAATTGGAAGCAACAAATGCTAGAAATGTGCTTCTGCTTTTCCTTGAATCGTTTTCAGGTCAGTGTAACTTTATAATCGAGAAAATTGCTTCTCGATCTGTTTTTGAATCGCTGAATTTACAAAGATATTGTTCATTCAGAGATTCTGTTCGTAAAATGATAAGTGATGTGTATATTGATATTTTGGTGTCTTAAATTTGAATTTGAGCTTGATTATGATCACGAAATTTTGATTAATATAGACCTAGATCTGATCAGTCTTGTTCTTGTCAATTTCAGTGCAGGATTTTTCTTTCTTGCTTCCTTTTTCTTTTTTTCTTATATATTTGCTTCCTTTTCATTTTTTCTATATATATATATTATATATTATAATATATATAATATAAAATTTTATTTGATTTATGATTATTACTAGTTATTGCTAGATCATATAAAATTTATTATAGATTTATGATTATTACTAGTTATTGCTAGATCATGGATATAACCACTGAGTTTTAGTGGAAATTACTCACTTTATTTTTTTTTTTTCTGGGTGAATATTTATTATAGAAACTCAATATTTTTCTGCTTTTAGAAAATTGTTTATTGATGCAATTATTGATAATCTAGTTTAAACAGAACATTGTGGATTTTTAGCATCTACTGAACTACCTGGTTATGTTGTTTAGCAATTATATGATCTGAAATCTACCTAATTAATGAAGTTCTATAATTATGATTTCAGTTCCTAATTTTGTTTTATTTTTTTCAACTGATAAATGATGCTATGCGAAATTTGAGCATCCATATCCATCTTATTTAGTGTTTATCTCTGTTTTCTGACTTGGAATTTTGTAATTCTATCAGGAAGCTAGGTGTTTGGATTGGATGGGCGGCAGAACTGCAAATTATCACGAGAACAGTGATTACTAGTAACTGTATTACTCTTACTTTGAACTATAATGTCATCTGCCAGCCTAGGAAATGGGGGAGTTGGAAGCTCTAGGTCTGTTAATGGCTTCAAGAGTTCATCTAGTTCAGTTGACTGGCTAGGGAGAGAGATGCTTGAGATGAGATTGAGGGATAAGGTGGACCACGATGAGGACAGAGTAAGTCGTCAGATTTCTAAATGTTCTTTTTATTTTATACTTAAATGTTTTAGAGCTTCCTTTTAGCTTTTGTAAATAGTCCAGTGACTGACATCTGTTCCCTGGAGTATCTTCTCTAATCTTTTGTAGATATCCTCTTGTGAAGTGGTTCCATGGCAATTTCTGATTTGTTTTTTAGAAGGGCACTTCACTTGATTGAGAAATATTTGGTCTTTTTTTTCTTAATGGACTGAACTTGTGCAAATCTGATCTTAGTTGCAGGAGTCTTACATTCTTTCTTTTGCAGGATAGTGAACCGGATGTAATTGATGGTGTGGGTGCTGAAGCAGGACATGTCATAAGAACCACAATTGGTGGTAGAAATGGTCAATCTAGACAGGTTGGAAACTTTCTTCTAGAACCTATAACTGGTAGACACTATAATTGATAGACATTTTACATCTTCCGCAATGTTCTTCTTGTTTTGACAGACAGTCAGTTATATAGCAGAGCATGTGGTTGGAACTGGTTCATTTGGTGTTGTCTTTCAAGTAAGTAGCGCTATTCATTAAATTAGTAATCACATCTTTTCTCTCTCCATTGAGTTCGGTTATTCAAATACTATTAATTTGTGCAGGCAAAATGTAGGGAAACTGGAGAAATTGTTGCTATCAAGAAAGTTCTCCAAGACAAGCGATATAAGAACAGAGAGTTACAGATTATGCAGATGTTGGATCATCCAAATATTGTTTCTCTTAAGCACTGTTTCTTTTCAACAACAGATAAGGAAGAGCTTTATCTAAATCTGGTACTCGAATATGTTCCTGAAACTGTCAATCGTATTGCAAGGAACTACAGCAGAATCAACCAAAGAATGCCTTTAATATATGTCAAACTCTATACCTATCAGGTATATCTTGTCTTTTATGCTTTTTTCTTTAGTTCATAATTGATTGAATGTTGCTTCCATGAGCGAGTATACAAACTGTGCTCATGGTATTGGCAAATTATAATTCTCTAGAATCAATTGTTTTCTAGTTTTAATTCTTGCACCTGGGTTTTTGGGGTGGATGCCATTGATTTTTGGTGCCATGTTAGACCTTTTTATCATGCGCTATCGTAGAAAAGAAATATAATGTCTATTGATAGCATATGTTTTCCTCATTCAATCTCGAGGCTAATCCATTTACTTTTTTTTTTTTTTTTGGCAAAACCATGGTTTAAATGAATTTCTATACATTCTCCTTTTCTGTTATTGCTTTTATTTCATATTAGTTAGACTTAGTGAAATTTGGTGCATGCTGTGTCTAGTAATAACAGAGACCATAGGTGGGTACGGCTGGTAGCTGGCCACTGATATGTCACTGATATCTTATGTCAATTAGGTCATCCTCTGAGGAAAGAAGGAAAATGGTTTAGTTGCCACTTTAAGAATATAGGATTTGATGTTCAGAATGTGGATTAAGGCATGATGTTTCTGTTTAGTTTGCAAGAGAGTGTTGTTTTGGTTTACTAATTGAAATTGACAGGGAACGTCTGAGATTTAGAAGAGCTTTTTGTGGGATTTGGAACTTGAACTTGATAGTAGGCAAGGGATGGGAAAATGGGGAGTTTTGAATTTCCACTTGTGTTAAGATGCCCATCTTCCTCTTTGCATGGCAAGGAAAGAAGTTTTAAATGAGATTATTCATAATTTTGTCTGCTTATTTCATGTAGGCTAAGACCTACCTATCATCAAATCCACCTGTAGTTTTTTGGATGATTAAGAAAATCCAAATTCTCTTGGTAGTGCTACTTGTAATTGCCACCCAAATGTTAAGACTATACAACGTGCAAGGACATTTGTTTTTGATCAATTTCTATATTGTCCTATTATTATTATTATTGTTATTATAAATTCCTTGATTTTGTCTTTCTGGATTCAGATCTGCAGGGCACTTGCCTATATACACAATTGCATTGGTATTTGTCACCGTGACATCAAGCCTCAGAACTTACTGGTAAAATTTTTCTCATGTCAAACATATTTTAAGGTCCTTGAACATGATCCTTGAGCATAGGGAATTTGATTTACACTGTATCTAAGCAAATTAATTAAGCCTATGAACAACATCATCTTGATTTTGCTTTAACATTTTTTATAGGAGCTTTCCATTTAAAAATACATATTTTTTTTAGAATTAGTATTTTCTGTTTAGATTAAGTATTTAATAAGCTTTCCATTTAAAAATACATATTTTTTTTAGAATTAGTATTTTCTGTTTAGATTAAGTATTTAATAATTAGGGATTCGAAGCAGTTAAATGGATAGGATTTCATCATATTATATTTAATAATACCATATGGCTTTTTGGGACTACGAGAATAAATATTAGAGAACACACACTGTTAGAAATCATCCTTATTGAAACAGTTAATCTGGAGGCCTGTTTGTCTCAAAGCAGATTGTTTCTTAAATTCTTCTTTCCTAAATTTGAGCCATTTATTTGACAGTTTCTTTAGATGGATGTCACATCAAGTTTAATCCTAGAAATTCAAGCTCTCTAGCTCTATTAGACATGAAAATAAGAGCTGGGAAGAGCTGGGTAGAGGGTTTTTGAAAGGTTGAGAGAAATGAGTTGAATCACAATAAGACTCAACTAAAAGTAAGTAGTGGTTACAAAGGAAAATTTGAATGACCCTTCCTATAAATTGACAACAAAAAAGAGCATCTTACATTTTAAGACTCATCCTTACAGAAGAAGAGACTGCAAATAATCAAGATAAGAGAATAGTAGTTGAGAATAATGGGGGAGTTGGAAGTCATTTTGTTTCAAGAATTAGTTATCGTACAACCTGCCTACCTGGCATAAATAGAATTATGAACACCTAATTCTTTTTTCATGCACATATAAGATTATTTTTATTTTGAAACCATCTGAAACTGGAGGCTGAATTTATGCGAGTTAGTGAAAAGGAATTCAATTTGCTAGAATTCTTCAAGTGGTTGCAATGAGTTCCACTTAACTGTGAGGACAAGGTTGAATTTAATTATCAGGAAGATTTCTTTTTGGAATTCGTTCCTTTTCCCTTGAATTTAGTTGGTGCTACTGCTATCTTGTTCCTTTTCCCTTGAATTTAGTTGGTGCTACTGCTATCTTTTTTTTTTTTTTTAAATCAAGTTATAATAATTGTAGTGCTCGGGTATTAATTGGAAGACAACTGCCTTGAAACATATAATTAAGGCTTGACCTCCTCAAAGTATCGAATCACTTATCAGTGGCTATCTGATTTCTTAAACTCAAAGGAACCTTCAAATTTATTCATTCTGTAAATGGTACAGAGAGAACACATACGTCTTACGGAAAGTAATAGCTACTGGTGATGCTTTCTGTTCTGCTGTTGCTGGGCTGATCTTATAAGTTACATCAGTTGTATGTCATTGGTTTTACCGGGCTTGTAACTCATCATTTTTGACGTTGAGATGCTTATACAGTCTTCATGTTATATTTTAGTGGATGGTGAGGGGTTGACTGGTGCAGTATAAACATATTTTTTATTTGTTGTCTGGAAGAACAGGTAATTAAGGAGTTACCTGACAACCCTTGTTAGTGTTAGAGCTATAAACTTAAAGAGCACACGATATTGGTGATATAGTGATGAAATAATATTAGCTCTATAAACTTAAAGAGCACGCATTATTGGTGATTTAATGATGAAATGATGTTCTGAAGTTATAAGATAAATACACTACGAGTTGCATTTTTTACTGATTTGGTATAGTTTGATTATATCAGTAGCTGTTTGTGCATAGGTGTGGCTTGGATGGACAAGGATTATCTGCATTTAAATCCATGTAGTAACTTGTATTTTCTTTTGGTTGACTAAAAATAGTGTCTGTTTGACGGTGCACTCTTGGGACTAATTGTTGTCATTCTGTCCTTTTTCTGGTTAGTTTTTAAAGTTAATTCTTCATTTCTCAGGTGAATCCTCATACACACCAGCTAAAACTTTGTGATTTTGGGAGTGCAAAAGTGCTGGTAAGTTTCATGCAACAGTGAATACTAATGATTGCATATTATATCTTTGCTTGAATATTTTCCCTTTGCCATTTCTAAGGTAAAAGGAGAACCCAATGTCTCTTACATCTGCTCAAGATACTACCGTGCTCCAGAACTGATATTTGGTGCTACTGAATACACAACTGCTATTGATATATGGTCTACAGGTTGTGTAATGGCTGAGTTGCTACTTGGACAGGTAGGTTGACATGCTGCATATTGTTGTTATTACCATTTCTTTTGACATGCTGCATATTGTTGTTATTACCATTTCTTTGTTACTTCTTCTTTTCTCTGCCGTGATCATTGTTGTTAACTGTTTTCATTGGACCAACTTATTGCACAGCCTTTATTTCCCGGTGAAAGTGGAGTTGACCAATTAGTTGAGATCATTAAGGTGATGTTATCTTTTAATTCCCATGAGCCTCTGGAAATATCATATTTTAAATTTTCCTAGTAAGTTATCTCAGAGTTAATTTTTTAATCCTTGAAATTTTAGTAGATCTCAAAGTGTCGAACTTTGTTACATGAAAGGCATTTTACAGACTTTATTTCTAGGTTTAATTACTGAAATTGGACATTTTGTTTCAATTGCTATTAAGGGAGTGCTAAATAAGTAAATACTAAATAGCAATTCTGCATATTGCTTTTCAGGTTTTGGGAACTCCAACTAGGGAGGAGATTAAGTGCATGAATCCAAACTACACTGAATTTAAATTTCCACAAATAAAGCCTCATCCCTGGCACAAGGTATATGCTCTTCCTCCTTACTCTCGCATCCCTTGCTTTGATTTGCTATTTGTCCCTTTATGAGTTTGAACTTTGAATTGAACAATCTTGAACTAATGCATTCTTATGATTTAAATTGGAATGTGCATTCTGTAAACCCTAAAACTTTCAAACAATGGGCACTGCACTAATGGCTGGCACACCCCTTTTCTGAAACTGTGGTGGGAATCTAACCAAGCCTATCTACTGTAAGGCCTCCAAAAAAAGGCATCAAAATTTGGGATGTTGTGCCCCTTTGATGGAATCATCTAAGATTTTACATTTTCAAACTGTCTATCACTTGCACTCGGCTTGGGGCACTCACTGATAGTTGTTTCATATTTGAAGACTTTCATATCAAGTGACCTGCATAGGAAATAATCACAAAAAAACATTTGTTACTTGGCTAATGATAAGAAACCCATTATGCTATTTGTGGTTTTCCAAATTTTGATCTCCAAAATAAGCTGCTAGAGACATATTCCGGCTGCATGTGGAATTTCTGTGCTGATGGGTTTGGATCCAACTAGCCTATCAAGCCAGCTTTTGAAGTTGGAGTTGTTGTTTTCTCCTGCTTCTGACATTTGTTTAGTAACCACTACTTGCAGTCACAAGAATTCCATTTACGATTGAGATCCAAGTAATATTTATTGTTCTCATCTATCAGGTCTTCCAAAAGCGTTTACCCCCCGAAGCAGTGGATCTTGTCTGTAGGTTTTTCCAGTACTCTCCCAATTTGAGATGCACTGCTGTAAGTTTATGCTAAATTTATTTCTTATTTTCCAGAAAGTTAAAGTAAATTTTTACTCAATTTTATTCGATTCATCTGTACTGCAGTTGGAAGCATGCATCCACCCATTCTTTGATGAATTAAGGGATCCCGACACTCGTCTTCCCAACGGCCGCCCTCTTCCTCCACTATTTAATTTTAAAGCTCAAGGTGAGTTGACACTTAAACTCCTCCACCACATTTAATTTTCATATCCATTTCATCTGAAATATTTTAGTTGGTTTTTACCTTCCGTCTTCATGCCTATCATTCTATTTCTCAGAGCTCTCAGGCATACCACCGGACATTGTCAATCGACTCATTCCAGAGCATGCTCGTAAGCAGAATTTATTTATGGCTTTGCACACCTAGTAACTGTAACAAAATATTTGCTTGTGCTCGCCGTCCACATTACTGCCTTATATCTAAATTTGTAAAAATCCTTCACTTTTATGGTCTTTTGCTTCTTTAATGTGAGTGTGTTGCAAGAGTTTATATAGGGACAATCTGGGAAACCTGAGGCTTTGAGTTTGCTGTGCTGGTAAAGGTGATTTTTTGTTGTTACATGAGAACTATAGTTTATGATGTATATTTATAAAGGATTTATGTTATAGGGGTATTTTAGTAATATGAAATATTTGAGAATTTTTATATATTTAGCCTTTGCTAAAGTTTTATTTTGACGTTGATTAAATCCTTAATACCCACCAAAATCAGTAGGTACCTGTTAAAATCCGTGGTCAGTCAGGGCTTGGGCCGGACCTGAACAAATTTTTAAACTTTATTTTTTTTTTCGGACTGAGCTGGGTCAGGCTTGGACATAATGAAAATGTTTGAACCCGATTAAGTTCAACCTTAATCCAACCCGATTTGTTTTTTTTTTTTTTTTAATTTATGTAATAAAAACCAAATTCACAAAAATGTAATTTATTTTTCAAAATTAAATCATCGAAATCCCATTGAACCAATTGAAAAAATGCCTGAAATTAAAAAATATATAATTATTTTACAGTAGTTATAAATTTTTTTATAAAAGATTTGAATTACAAGTTGTCTAATGAGTATAAACAGAATGCAATCTACCACTACAATTTGTCATTATTGACAACTTTTTAAGGTAGAGTTTAAAAATCTTTGAGAAATATACTATTTAGTCAAAACATTATCTTTATTAATTATATTATTCGGCAACATAACTATTTATAATAATGTTTAGAAGTTGAAAGAGTGTTTCATGCAACATTAATCCGTAACATTTAACATTTGATGATAATAATAATAATAATAATAATAATAATTTATTTTATGCATTTTAAATATTATGGTTGAACATTTGTAAAATTGCTATGTTTGGCAAAATAATAGTCAATTATATTTGAATATTGTAGTCATTTCCTTAGAAACTGCCGATGATCTGGAAAACGCTATAATGCTATTGACAAGGCAAACCATCGTTTGTACTTTTTCAAGGCTACTGTTTCTTTTTGAGATATTGTTTCCATCCATCACAGAAGTCTGTTATCTGTTATCTTTGTCTTTCTTCATTATATTCAAAAATATTTATACAGTGACTTAGTCTAATCGAAAAGGGTGTACAAATACAATGGCAATGGCCAGTGGTTTCGAATCTTGAGCTATCTGAGAAAATAGTATTGTTTCTAAAATCATACACTTGTCAAATTATTCAAATGATTTTATAGAAGCCTTAGAGATTTTAATTGAACCGACGTTCAGGCAGCCACTGGAGAGGATATAGACAGGGTGCAGTTAATCCATGTCAAGATTTTCATAAAAACAGGCCAAGAGAAGACATTGGATTTAAATACATTTTCTGGTATCTATCAAGAAAATTTCTGGGAAATGATAGACATTTTAATAGAAGCAAGGTCAACGCCACCGTGGGAGACTATACCCATTCGGGGATGAGATATGTAACATCATCTAGAATAAGCATCTAAATATATTTTCTAATATCTATCAAGAGAAAATGCCTGGAAACAATATATATTTAATAGAAGCAAGGTCCACGCCCTGTTGAGAGATTATACTCATTCTGGATGAGATATTTAACACCATCTGGAATAAGCATATGAAGCATACATCACAGAGCAATCACATAAAAATTCGCCTTTAATTTAGGTTCTGAAGGAGTGAGCATTGTTGAAGTATATGATTATCAGATTTCAGAACCATGTCAATTCAAGATGAAATAGCAGAAAGTGAAAATTTAAGACAACTGACAGATCCACCACATCCTCCAGCAAAAGTTTCTGTTAGTAAGTGGGATAAATACCTAGATTACCAAAGTAGCCAGTTGGAGAAGACACGAGGCCATTTAATGATAGTGGCTACTGTTATTGCATCCATGGCTTTCCAAGCTGCAGTCAACCCACCAAGTGAACTCTGGAAAAATGATTCCCAAGAAAAAGTATGCACAGCTGGAATGATAAGGGATACAATCACAAATAAAGGGGTAATCGAAATAAGAAAATTAGCAATAACCTGCATCCAAAAGTTTAACAGCCAAGAATTTATTATCTGCAACACCATCGCATTCTCAGCATCTCTGAGCATAATCTTTCTGCTTACTGTTCTTCCTCTCAAAAATAGGTTTTCTATGTGGATTATGCTTATAACCATAAGCATCACAGTAATTTTCATGGCTGCCACTTACATGCTCTCAATCATATTAGTTGGAGGAGGGTCAAAGCAAGAAAGGTTTAACAGTGAGATTCTTTTGTACTATATAGTGTTTTGGTTTGGATTACTAGCAATTATTATTTTACTTTTTGCCCTTCGACTTCTGTTTTGGTTGCTCAAGATATTGGTTACTATAGTCTTCCACGTGATAAGGTTTCTATATCTGAAGGGGAAGCGACAGGGAACTGGAAGTGGTCAACCCACCAGCACCCGTGTTTAAGCAACATCTGTGTTGTTTATTTGATGGGTTTATAGTTCCATAGCCATATCTCTTTACTAGATTCTTAAAGTTATGCAGTTGTGTAGATTATAACTGTATTACCGTTACAGCTTCTTTGGAATGCATTTGTCTATATGTATCGAAGGTTAGGAGTTGCAAAATCTATTAGGCTTTGCTAATGCATTTGTACGAAGTTTGCATTGCATTATATGCACAAGTTTATATCAATGAAAAACAAGCTACTTATCTAAGTTATAGTTATCTTATTTATAACATTAAATTCATTTGGCACTTTTGGTAGATCACTACAATAGAAGAGGCTATATTCTAACAGGATATGCATGTCCTAGTGAGAAAGGTATATTCTAACATAAGAAAGGGCAATCTTCGTCCTAGTGAGATCCCTCCTTCACAATCCCATCATAAAACTACATAGAGCAGCACTGAAGGTATGCATAATTAGATTATTTCAAAGCAGATAATTGAGAGTAATGGACAAAGCTTTGACCTTTCTTCTATTTAAAACAATATTTAATTAACAAATTCAACCCCTGAATTATGAATATGTAACACTAAAGTTTCCATCTAACCAAACATATAATCACAATTCATTAAAGGTTTAATGAAGGATGTAAAATCTGTTCTGTATTTGATGATACTCAGTACAAGTTTATATACACAAAAACAGAGGCTAGATAAAGAAAGGAACTAAATTATATATTTACAATTAATTTGAATTTTCTGTGATTGTGCTGATATAGAGGAATTGGTGGCCTTGATTATGTTAGTTTCCAAAATACTAAGTAACAGCTGTAGTTTCAGTAATACGCCCCCCGCAAGTTAGGTGGTAGTTCAACAACACCTAACTTGGATCGATGATGACTGAACAGCTGACGTGTCTGTGCTTTTGTAAGAGAATCCGCTAACTGATGGGCGGAATGAATGTGGTGAACAATCAGTTTTTTGCTGTGAACTTGTTCCCTTACAAAGTGAAAATCAATAGCTATGTGTTTCATTCTGCTATGAACACAGGATTTTGACAAAGATACGTAACACCCGCCGCCCGATCCCAAAAGACCCGACGGTGGATGCCACATTCGGTGCCGGAGGCACCGTTCTAACCTACATAGAAATCATACAATCATATTATGAATTAGAAGTGACTTAGTATTCACAAATTTAGCAAGTAATATTTTTTTTTTTTTTTTTTTTGTAGCAAGTAATATTTTTTTTTTTTTTTTGAAAATGCTTGGGAGAGTCCTACAGAAAAATGCAAAGTTTCACCTAAAAAAAAGTTACCAAATATCATTGAATTTACAAAGAATTCCGCAAAGATTCAATCTCAAACCCATCAACTCAATAAAACACAATAGCATTCTGATAATTTCTCTTAATAACTACGTAGGTCCCTGCAATAACATTTTAAATATTTCATCAATTCAATACATTCATGCTAAATTAGTTATTTAACTTCTTATTTATCTCCCAATATATATATACCAACAGAATTTACAATTAACATGCTTAAGTCATAAATAAGATAATATAGTCTCCAAAAAAAAATGTACTATTTATAATGCCATAATTCTTAAGTTACATAAAATACTAATGCAGACTAGCCAGAAAATATCTCTTTCAGGCTCTGATCGCTACTACTTTCAGGTTTTAAGACAGCAAGCACAATCTAGAACCTCGCGCGTGATAAATCAATCGCGCTGAGTGGATGACTCAGTGGTGCTAAATAACCAACAGATTAAAATAACAAAGAAATAGCCAAGGGCAAATTCTTCGCAAAGTGCTTTTAATTATATAAAATACCGAAATTGCATTAAATCGTAGTGAAACTACTGTCAAAGCAATAAGAAGATATAAAGTAATAAATATGTGTCAATTCTTTTAATATGCAAAAAGTTAAATTATCACTCTTTTTATGTTAAGGTTCGTACCTAATAGCAGAATGAATATAAGCAACGATTTGATCGTTTGATCGTGGCCTATATTAGCGCCACCCCCATCACACAATCGTGGCCTATGAAAGCGCCACCCCCCTCACATAATCGTGACTTATGAAACCGCCACCCCCATCACACAAATAAGTGCGTCCGCCTATTTATAAGGGCTAATAATCCTAGCATATGATCATAGCTTTGTATAACCAAATCAATCTCATCATACCACATTTTTTATAGAAGCTTTCCATTTAAAAATACAAGCTTTCCATTTAAAAATACATATTTTTTTTAGAATTAGTATTTTCTGTTTAGATTAAGTATTTAATAATTAGGGATTCGAAGCAGTTAAATGGATAGGATTTCATCATATTATATTTAATAATACCATATGGCTTTTTGGGACTACGAGAATAAATATTAGAGAACACACACTGTTAGAAATCATCCTTATTGAAACAGTTAATCTGGAGGCCTGTTTGTCTCAAAGCAGATTGTTTCTTAAATTCTTCTTTCCTAAATTTGAGCCATTTATTTGACAGTTTCTTTAGATGGATGTCACATCAAGTTTAATCCTAGAAATTCAAGCTCTCTAGCTCTATTAGACATGAAAATAAGAGCTGGGTAGAGGGTTTTTGAAAGGTTTAGAGAAATGAGTTGAATCACAATAAGACTCAACTAAAAGGAAGTAGTGGTTACAAAGGAAAATTTGAATGACCCTTCCTATAAATTGATAACAAAAAAGAGCATCCTACATTTTAAGACTCATCCTTACAGAAGAAGAGACTTCAAATAATCAAGATAAGAAAATAGTAGTTGAGAATAATGGTGGAGTTGGAAGTCATTTTGTTTCAAGAATTAGTTATCGTACAACCTGCCTACCTGGCATAAATAGAATTATGAACACCTAATTCTTTTTTCATGCACATATAAGATTATTTTTATTTTGAAACCATCTGAAACTGGAAGCTGGATTTATGCGAGTTAGTGAAAAGGAATTCAATTTGCTAGAATTCTTCAAGTGGTTGCAATGAGTTCCACTCAACTGTGAGGACAAGGTTGAATTTAATTATTGTAGACTGACAGGAAGATTTCTTTTTGGAATTCGTTCCTTTTCCCTTGAATTTAGTTGGTGCTACTGCTATCTTTTTTTTTTTTTTTTTTTGTTCCTTTTCCCTTGAATTTAGTTGGTGCTACTGCTATCTTTTTTTTTTTTTTTAAATCAAGTTATAATAATTGTAGTGCTCGGGTATTACTCGGAAGACAACTGCCTTGAAACATATAATTAAGGCTTGACCTCCTCAAAGTATCGAATCACTTTTCAGTGGCTATCTGGTTTCTTAAACTCAAAGGAACCTTCAAATTATTCATTCTGTAAATGGTACAGAGAGAATACATACGTCTTACGGAAAGTAATAGCTACTGGTGATGCTTTCTGTTCTGCTGTTGCTGGGCTGATCTTATAAGTTACATCAGTTGTATGTCATTGGTTTTGCCGGGCTTTTAACTCATCATTTTTGACATTGAGATGCTTATACAGTCTTCATGTTATATTTTAGTGGATGGTGAGGCGTTGACTGGTGCAGTATAAACATATTTTTTATTTGTTGTCTGGAAGAACAGGTAATTAAGGAGTTACCTGACAACCCTTGTTAGTGTTAGAGCTATAAACTTAAAGAGCACACGTTATTGGTGATATAGTGATGAAATAATATTAGCTCTATAAACTTAAAGAGCACGCATTATTGGTGATTTAATGATGAAATGATGTTCTGGAGTTATAAGATACACACACTACGAGTTGCATTTTTTACTGATTTGGTATAGTTTGATTATATCAGTAGCTGTTTGTGCATAGGTGTGGCTTGGATGGACAAGGATTATCTGCATTTAAATCCATGTAGTAACTTGTATTTTCTTTTGGTTGACTAAAAATAGTGTCTGTTTGACGGTGCACTCTTGGGACTAATTGTTGTCATTCTGTCCTTTTTCTGGTTAGTTTTTAAAGTTAATTTCTCAGGTGAATCCTCATACAATTTCTCAGGTGAATCCTCATACACACCAGCTAAAACTTTGTGATTTTGGGAGTGCAAAAGTGCTGGTAAGTTTCATGCAACAGTGAATACTAATGATTGCATACTATATCTTTGCTTGAATAATTTCCTCTTGCCATTTCTAAGGTAAAAGGAGAACCCAATGTCTCTTACATCTGCTCAAGATACTACCGTGCTCCAGAACTGATATTTGGTGCTACTGAATACACAACTGCTATTGATATATGGTCTACAGGTTGTGTAATGGCTGAGTTGCTACTTGGACAGGTAGTTTGACATGCTGCATATTGTTGTTATTACCATTTCTTTGTTACTTCTTCTTTTCTCTGCCGTGATCATTGTTGTTAACTGTTTTCATTGGACCAAATTATTGCACAGCCTCTATTTCCCGGTGAAAGTGGAGTTGACCAATTAGTTGAGATCATTAAGGTGATGTTATCTTTTAATTCCCATGAGCCTTTTAATTCCCATGAGCCTTTGGAAATATCATATTTTAAATTTTCCTAGTAAGTTATCTCAGAGTTAATTTTTTAATCCTTGAAATTTTAATAGATCTCAAAGTTACGTGAAAGGCATTTTACAGACTTTATTTCTAGGTTTAATTAAGTGACTGAAATTGGACATTTTGTTTCAATTGCTATTAAGGGAGTGTTAAATAAGTAAATACTAAATAGCAATTCTGCATATTGTTTTTCAGGTTTTGGGAACTCCAACTAGGGAGGAGATTAAGTGCATGAATCCAAACTATACTGAATTTAAATTTCCACAGATAAAGCCTCATCCCTGGCACAAGGTATATGCTCATCCTCCTTACTCTCGCATCCCTTGCTTTGATTTGCTATTTGTCCCTGTTTGAGTTTGAACTTTGAATTGAACAATCTTGAACTAATGCATTCTTATGATTTAAATTGGAATGTGCATTCTGTAAACCCTAAAACTTTCAAACAATGGGCACAGCACTAATGGCTGGCACACCCCTTTTCTGAAACTGTGGTGGGAATCTAACCAAGCCTATCTACTGTAGGGCCTCCAAAAAAAGGTATCAAAATTTGGGATGTTGTGCCCCTTTGATGAAATCATCTAAGATTTGACATTTTCAAACTGTCTATCACTTGCACTCGGCTTGGGGCACTCACTGATAGTTGTTTCATATTTGAAGACTTTCATATCAAGCGACCTGCTTAGGAAATAATCACAAAAAAACATTTGTTACTTGGGTAATGATAAGAAACCCATTATGCTATTAGTGGTTTTCCAAATTTTGATCTCCAAAATAAGCTGCTAGAGACATATTCCGGCTGCATGTGGAATTTCCGTGCTGATGGGTTTGGATCCAACTAGCCTACATATTCCCGGCTGCATGTAGGAATTTCCGTGCTGAGGGTTGGATCCAAAACTAGCCTATCTAAGCCAGCTTTTTGAAGTTGGAGTTGTTGTTTTCTCCTGCTTTCTTGACATTTATGTTTAGGTACCACTACTTGCAGTCACAAGAATTCATTTACGATTGAGAATCCAAGTAATATTTTATTGTTACTCATCTATCAGGTCTTCCAAAAGCGATTTTACCCCCGAAGAGTGGATCTTGTCTGTAGGTTTTTCCATACTCTCCGCAATTTGAGATGCACTGCTGTAAGTTTATGCTAAATTTCATTTCTTATTATGTTTCCAGGAAGGTTAAAGGTAAATTTTTTACTCAAGTTTTATTCGATTCGCCTGGTACTGCTGGGCAGGTTGGAAGCATGCATCCACGCCATGTCTTTTGATGAATTAACAGGGATCCCCGGACAGCCCGTCTTCCCGAACGGCCGCCCTCTTTTCTCCACTAATTTAATTTTAAAGCGTCTAAGGGTGAGTTGACACTGTAAACTCCTCCACCACAAGTTTAATTTTCATATTCATTTCATCGTGAAATATTTTAGTTGGTTTTTACCTTCCGTCTTCATGCCTATCATTCTATTTCTCAGAGCTCATCAGGCATACCACCGGACATTGTCCAGTTGACTCAGTTCCGGAGCATGCTCGTAAAGCAGAATTTATATTATGGCTTTGCACACAGTTAGCACCTCAAGCATGCACAAATTGACAAGAAGCACACTAGAGGGGTGGGGCGGGGCACAAAAGACAATGGGGGGAGAAAAAACAAAAGGAAAACTTAAACATACGGAAATGAAAGAAAAATGTACTATTGAAAGACGACGAAGAGTAGAGATAAAACCGGGATTGGGGTGTGGGGATGATAAGAAAAGGGATAAAAAAAAAAACGAATAAAACAAGGAGCGTCTTCCCAACGGCCGCCCTCTTCCTCCACTATTTAATTTTAAAGCTCAAGGTGAGTTGACACTTAAACTCCTCCACCACATTTAATTTTCATATCCATTTCATCTGAAATATTTTAGTTGGTTTTTACCTTCCGTCTTCATGCCTATCATTCTATTTCTCAGAGCTCTCAGGCATACCACCGGACATTGTCAATTGACTCATTCCAGAGCATGCTCGTAAGCAGAATTTATTTATGGCTTTGCACACCTAGTAACTGTAACAAACTATTTGCTTGTGCTCGCCGTCCACATTATTGCCTTATATCTAAATTTGTAAAAATCCTTCACTTTTATGGTCTTTTGCTTCTTTAATGTGAGTGTGTTGCAAGAGTTTATATAGGGACAATCTGGGAAACCTGAGGCTTTGAGTTTGCTGTGCCGGTAAAGGTGTTCTTTTTGTTGTTACATGAGAACTATAGTTTATGATGTATATTTATAAAGGATTTATGTTGTAGGGGTATTTTAGTAATATGAAATATTTGAGAATTTTTATATATTTAGCCTTTGCTAAAGTTTCATTTTGACATTGATTAAATCCTTAATGCCCATCAAAATCAGTAGGTACCTGTTAAAATCCATGGGTATCCGTGGTCAGTCAGGGCTTGGGCCGGACCTGAACAGAGTTTTAAACTCTTTATTTTTTTCGGACTGAGCTGGGTCAGGCTTGGACATAATGAAAATGTTTGAACCCGATTAAGTTCAGCCTTAATCCAACCCGATTTGTTTTTTTTTTTTTTTTTAATTTATGTAATAAAAATCAAATTCACAAAAAATTTAATTTATTTTTCAAAATTAAATCATTGAAATCCCATTGAACCAATTGTAAAAATGCCTGAAATTAAAAAATATATAATTATTTTACAGTAATAAATTTTTTTTATAAAAGATTTGAATTACAAGTTGTATAATGAGTATAAACAGTATGCAATCTACTACTACAATTTGTCACTACTGACAACTTTAAATGATAGACATTTTAATAGAAGCAAGGTCAAGCAAGGTCAAGGCCACGGTGGGAGATTATACTTATTCTGGGATGAGATATTTAACACCACCTAGAATAAGCATCTAAATATATTTTCTAGTATCTATCAAGAGAAATTGCCTGGAAATATATATTTAATAGAAGCAAGGTCAACAAATTCCAAGTCATCGCCGGGACCAGAAAGAGAGGGATTCGAATCCTGACATATGAATGGGGATATTCCTGAAACTGCCCTGGTGAGATATTGTACTCATTCTGGGATGAGATATTTAACACCATCTAGAATAAGCATATATATGAAGCATACATCACATAGCAATCACATAAAAATTCGCCTTTAATTTAGGTTCTGAAGGAGCGAGCATTGATTATCAGAGTTCAGAACCATGTCAATTCAAGATGAAAGAGCAGAAAGTGTAAATTTAAGACAACTGACAGATCCACCAGAACCTCCAGCAAAAGTTTGTGTTAGCAAGTTGGATAAATACCTAGATTACCAAAGTAGCCGGTTGGAGAAGACACAAGGCCATTTAATGATAGTGGCTACTGTTATTGCATCCATGGCTTTCCAAGCTGCAGTCAACCCACCAAGTGAACTCTGGAAAAATGATTCCCAAGAAAAAGTATGCCCAGCTGGAATGATAAGGGATACAATCACAAATAAAGGGGTAATCGAAATAGCAATAACCTGCAGGAGCGAAGAATTTATTATCTGCAACACCATCGCATTCTCAGCATCTCTGAGCATAATCCTTCTGCTTACTGTTCTTCCTCTCAAAAATAGGTTTTCTATGTGGATTATGCTCATAACCGTAAGCATCACAGTAATTTTCACGGCTGCCACTTACATGCTCTCAATCATGTTAGTTGAAGGAAAAGAGCCAAAGCAAGAAAGGTTTAACAGGGGGATTCTTTTCTACTATCTAGTGTTTTGGTTTGGATTACTAGCAATTATTATTTTACTTTTTGCCCTTCGACTTCTGTTTTGGTTGCTCAAGAAATTGGTTACTATAGTCTTCCACGTGATAAGGCTTCTATGTCTGAAAGGGAAGCGACAGCGGAATCTGGAAGTGATCAACCCACCAGCAGCCCGTGTTTAAGCAACATCTGTGTTGTTTATTTGATGGATTTATAGTTCCATAGCCATATCTCTTTACTAGATTCTTAAAGTTATGCAGTTGTAAGCAACATCTGTGTTGTTTATTTGATGGATTTATAGTTCCATAGCCATATCTCTTTACTAGATTCTTAAAGTTATGCAGTTGTGTAGATTATAACTGTAATACCGCTACAGCTTCTTTGGAATGCATTTGTCTATATGTATCGAAGGTTAGGAGTTGCAAAATCTATTAGGCTTTGCTAATGCATTTGTACGAAGTTTGCATTATATGCACAAGTTTATATCAATGAAAAACAAGCTACTTATCTAAGTTATAGTTATCTTATTTATAACATTAAATTCATTTGGCACTTTTGGTAGATCACTACAATAGAAGAGGCTATATTCTAACAGGATATGCATGTCCTAGTGAGAAAGGTATATTCTAACATAAGAAAGGGCAATCTTCGTCCTAGTGAGATCCCTCCTTCACAATCCCATCATAAAACTACATAGAGCAGCACTGAAGGTATGCATAATTAGATTATTTCAAAGCAGATAATTGAGAGTAATGGACAAAGCTTTGACCTCCTTCACAATCCCATCATAAAACTACATAAGAGCAGCACTAAAGGTATGCATAATTAGATTATTTCAAAGCATATAATTGAGAGTAATGGACAAAGCTTTGACCTTTCTTCTATTTAAAACAATATTTAATTAACAAATTCACCCCCTGAATTATGAATATGTAACACTGAAGTTTCCATCTAACCAAACATATAATCACAATTCATAACCATGAATTATACATTAATTAGATAAAATCAAAACAACAAAATTGTAAATTCAAAAACTTGTTACATATTTTTCACACTAATACGAACTAAACAGCAAAATTAAATTAATCACTGCTTGAATCTCTATTACGAAGTCTGTAAATAATACGGCCTCGAGAAGAATCATAACGACTGACCTCAACCTTGACTCTATCTCCAGGCAATATCCGCACAAAATTCTTTCGAATCTTACCAGAAATATATCCAATGATCAAATCTTCATTGTCTAAGCGCACTCGAAACATACCGTTGGGTAGCGATTCAGTAACTGAGCCTTCATGAGTCCATTTCTGCTCACCAGGTGGATTGACCTTTGATGCTTGGATCAAAACGGAGAATCTTGGAGCCGGAACAGTTCCGATTTTGAGGAAGTTGAGCGGTGTCGTTTTGATTAAGCCCTGGCTGAGGAAGACTGTTCTTGGATAGAGAGTAGTCGGTGGTTTTGTTGAGGAAAAAGAAGAGAAACCGGTTGCAGTAAGTACATGGAGACGGGATGTCGTCGTGGTCATTGTTTTTGGAGGAGACAGAAGAAGAAGAAGACGAAGAAGGTATGTGTGTGGTGAAAAGAGAGAAAGAGAGAGTTGCTGTTCGAGGAGATGATAAGAGAAGAGGCCAACGCACGGGAAGGTTAAGGCTCGAATATGGTTCGATCAGATTGGTTTGTGGATTTATTTCCCAATTTGTTGACACTCTCCAACCGATTCGGTTCAAATCAAACTAATTAAATTTAAGCGGAATAAATTTAATTTTTTATAAAAAAAAAATTGAACCAAAACGATCTTATGTAAGTATCTGAATAAAATCGGTTCAGAATAATTTAATTTGATTTAATTTTCTGATTTTAATTTAATTTTTAAGTTAAATTTGTTTTTATAGAATTTTTCATAATCTATAAGAAGTCAAAAATTTTTATTTTTTCTATATAAATCAAAGATTGAATCTAGTGTTGAATTGAATTGAACCAATCAATTTTATTTAATCCAATCGATTTGGGCGATTTTGTCCATCTCTATCAATATTACTTAAAAATAATTTAAAAAAAAGGTCATAATGTATCTGAATATTCAAATTTTATAAGTTCTTACAATTTTACCTTATTTTGGTCTATCAAATTTACTCCAATTTAGATATTTTGGTAACAATGTTATTCTCAATTACAATTAAAGATGAAATTGTAAATAAAAAGTGTTTCTATCATTTTTTAAAAAATTTATAATAAAAATAAGATTTTAAATAGCTTTTTAACATAAAATTATATTCTCATCTTATCCATAACACATTTATAAATTTAAAAATATGATATTTGAGACATAAGATAATTAAGTATATATTTATTTATTTTACACTAAATGAATAATCATTTGACCATTATCAATCCAAAAATTTATAAGTTGATCCTTAAAATATAGGTAAAATGAAAATAAAATATTTAATTTATAAAAAAATATATTTCATTAAATTAATTTTTATACCATTTTTCGGTACGTCGTAACAGAAGTTTATATTATTATTAAATTACTAATTAGTACATTTATTTGAAAATTTTAAAATTTCATCAATGTAACATTAATTGGTTAGACCAATGATTAAATATTTTATAACTCTCTTCTATCTTACTTTACTCTCCAAACCTATCAAATAACCTCCATCCAAACAATCTATTAGTATTTTGGACAAGTATCTAATGTTACTTGAACATGAAATTGATTGTGAGTTATAATTATATCCATAGAGAATCTTTGCTTGTAATTATATAAAATTATATATTTTGATGTGTATCCTGACACGATGAATTAATGCATATAAAAGCACCACTGAATTTTATACTCATTGCGACGAGTTTCTCTTGCGCAGTTAGAAGATTTGTGTGGACTGAAAAGATCCAGAATTCCAACACCAGAGGAGGATAATTCTTCAGTTGACTTGAGTCTGATTTTACTATGATTTTGGCATGTAATAGGATAATATTTTTATTGATAGAGTAAACAGTGGGTTGGGATTGTTCATTTAATAATTTAATTGTTTAATTGGTATGATAATTTTAAAATTTCAAAGTTGATATTTAATTTTTTATTATTGGAAGTTTCAAAGAGGAATCTGTGTTCTTTTGAATTCAGATATTTTATACAAATATGTAGTTTTAGACATTTTGAGAATTTTATTTTTATAAGTTAAGTTTATCATTATTTATTGGGAAAATGTTTTTCTTTTGTTAAAAGAATGTTATCAATGATCCATGGAATTTATAACTAATAAAATTTTTACTAAGGGTTTTCTATTATACCAAAAAAAAAAACTCCTTCTCATATTTCTAATGTTGATATTATAAATACATTTTTGAACTTGAGCACCTTTTTAATTCTGTACTACAGAAATAATGAGATAAGTATCCCCAGCACAGAATGTGACATTTACTGTCTAGTCCGGTAGGATCAGATAGTGAGTGTTACACACATGATATTTTTAAAATGATATAAATAATTTTTATTTATAAAAATGATATAAACTAAAATTAAATAAAAAACTTAAAATTAAAATTAAGGATGAAAAATATACAAATCATGTTTCTTCTCTTCAATTTAGTAGTTTAAATATTTAAAAAATAATAACATTGCAAGAGCACGGATAAAACTCAAGTCACTAAAGAAACGAAACGTCATTAAAAATATAAATAGAACCTTGCAAAATCTATAGACTAAAAATGTTGATGGGAGACAACAGCCGGTTGTTCCTTCCAGTCTCCCTCCGTCCGTTGCCGCACATAATACTTATTTTAATTTTTTCCAATATTTTAAATATACAATTATGATAATTCTATAATCATTTTTTTAATAAATTATAAAACTATAAATTCTGGGGAAAATGAATCTAATATATACAATTATAATGTAGTCTTAACATATCATGCAAATATAACTATTACTTTTCATGAAGATGAACATGAAAGCGAAAGGAGAATCACATGAAGGTGGAAGGTGGAGTTGAAATGAAAACATATATGCGCTTATGCAATTTTCTTAATTATTTTGGTGGAATATTTGCAGTTATTATATTTGAAGGGTACAAACAATAAATAGTTGGCTGAATTTAATCAGATATATTATTGTCAATTCTAACATTATTAACAAATTATATATTTTTAGTTACGTTTTAAAAAAAAAGTATTTATATTCTTGCATAATTACTATACAAATAAAAAGAATGCCCAGTAAAGAAAATTATCTCCAGCCAAGATATCCAGATTGTTGCAAATGCCCACTAAAGAAAAATGAATCCCAAATAAGTTCGAAAATCAGATATTCTCATCCCCACATATTGCTTCTGAAAACAAAATCCTTCCATCAATATAGTAATTTTGTCAATCTACTCATTATTATTTTATCTTCTATCTATATTTAGATTCCAACTCATCAATCAATATATTATTTCTCTGTTTAGTTCTAACATCTAATCAATCAAGCACCTACACACCGATTCTGTTTTTTTTTTTTTTTTTTTTTTTTTTTAATAATATTATTTCTCTGTTAGTTCTAACATTACAATCATCAAGCACCTACACCACCGATTTCTGTTTTTTTTTTTTTTTTTTTTTTTTTTTTTTAGGGTTTTTTCTCCAATTTTTAATATATGAATACTAAAAAAATTATACCACTGCAACTTTTATAAAAAGAATGAAAATGGTAACTTTAGGCAAGCATTTTTTTTTTTTTTTTTTTTTTTTTTTAGTTTTCTCCAATATTTTAAATATATGAATACTAAAAAAATTATACCACTGCAAATTTATAAAAAGAATGAAAATGGTAACTTTAGGCAGCATCTCATGCAAATACAATTACACAACTGACTTCTCAATAAGAGTCATATGAAAGTTGGAAGGTGGAGTTGTCATGTGTAACCTGATGCAAATTTGTTAATCTTTAATGTTGGGAAAACATGGAAGTGTAAAGTTTTACAGGGTGTAAACCCTTAATATATCGCCTCCATGAAGAAAAATTGAAGAATTGTCCCAAGGGCTATTTTTCTTTCCCTCTTATGGCCTGCCTCATTTGGATCATTTCACCATTTTTATCTATTCATGCATAAAAGACACTACAATATAGAACATCTATATTTTGAAATGGGCAACATCCATTACCTCAGCATTTAATTCATTTTGTTGTAGCAAATTGATTCTGGGGAAGTGCTCTCCACCCGATGTCCTGCCGGTAGAACCCTCCCGGCCAATTTATTTCCTCAACTGCCTGATAGGCTCTATCTCTTGCCTCTTGAAGATCTCTTCCCTTGGCAGTAATCCCAAGAACACGGCCTCCAGTAGCAATGAAGTTGCCATTTGCATCCAAAGCTGTTCCAGCATGAAATATTTTTACAGTCGGAGCAATGTTTTCGGCTTCTTCAAGGTTTCCAATCACAGTCCCTTTCTCATAGGATCCAGGATAACCTTTACTTGCCATTACAACTACCATGGCATACCCTGGAGACCAACTTAGTGATACTCCACTTAGCTCTCCTCTACAAGCTGCAAGTAGAACTTGTGCCAGATCAGATTCCAAACGAACCATTAGCACCTGCAAAATGAGACAAACAAAAAGAATCCACAATTTTGGTCATAATATGTTTCCTGCAGCATTTAACAAAAAATAGGAAAAGTAGAATGTGGTCATCAGCCTGATTATTGCTACAGAAGCATAACTCATGCCTATATGCACTAGAAAAGATGATTAGAAAGCTCTCCACCTCACCACATTCAATCAATAACTAGTAAGAATCTTACAAATTGTTAAGTATCATTGAAAGCAACAAAAGATTATATATGAAATGCCTAGTAGGGTTTTTGCAACTAACATGGCACTCCGGATCTCCAAAGCGCACATTGTACTCAATAAGCTTAGGTAAGCCAGACTTCTTCTCAATCATCAACCCTGCATATAAAACTCCAACAAACTTGCAACCCTCTGCAGCCATTCCTTTCACTGTTGGAAGAATTATAGTTTCCATAACTACTGACTCAAGTTCTTTCGTTAATATGGGAGCTGGGGAGTATGCCCCCATCCCACCAGTGTTTGGCCCTGTATCACCATCCCCAACACGCTTATGGTCTTGAGCAGATTCTAAAGGAATAGCAGTCTCTCCATCCACCAGAGCAAAGAAAGATGCTTCTTCTCCTGCCAAAAATTCCTCAACAATAACACGGCGACCTGCAGAACCAAAAACACATTTCACAAGCATCGAGTCAACAGCTTCGTATGCCTCTTCCAGTGTCATAGCAACAATAACTCCTTTTCCAGCAGCCAAGCCATCAGCTTTTATAACTATAGGAGCTCCTTGGTCTTGGATATATTTCTTTGCAGCAGATGGATCTGAAAATGTTTGGTACTGCAAACAAAAGAGGAAAACATCAAAAAGAGGGTTGCTAAAATAAAGAACTGTAAGCTAAAGGAAAATTAAAGTTGAAAATTTTAGTGTGACCAAAGAAAAGGGTATGAATTGTATTCCAACTTATTCTATTAAGCACAAACAAAATAATTTTGTCTGCTTCATTCTGCAATCAAGAGAAACAGACCTTCGCAGTTGGAATTTGATATTTTTCACAGAAGCTTTTCATAAAATTCTTTGAACCTTCTAAAGCTGCAGCCTCTGCAGATGGACCAAACGTGGGAATTCCAGCCTTGACCAGATCATTTGCAAGGCCAGCAACCAGAGGTGCCTCTGGTCCAACAACAACCAATCCTACACTCCATTTGTGGCAAAAGGAGATCACAGCAGAGCTATCCGAGATGTCGAGGTCCGGAATACATGTAGCATTCCCAGAGTTAGAAATCCCCGCATTACCAGGTGCACAGAAGACAGCATCACACGATGAAGATCGTTGCAAGGCATAGCAAAGTGCATGTTCTCTTCCCCCTCCACCAATAACCAACACAACTACCCTCTCTTCTGCAACATTAGTAAATAGATTAAACAACCATTTTAATACAATGCTTCAACTGATACAAAAAATACAGCAACTGTTCCTAGTCGAGCAGTCCAATTAGCATAGCCAAAAAATAAAAAAATTAACCCTTCCATTCTCTGTTATTCATTCATTGCAAAAACATAAGCACAGGATACTAACGATTGCTACTGACTAGATGATATTGGATTAATGTTAGGACTATGAAACAAGTTTCCAATCTAACGTTAGAATTGTAGACACTTAATGCTTGTTTTCTGTGGTACAAGACGAGTATTTTCAATATTGAGCAAATTTGCTGCTGGCTATACCATTTTTTGTAATTTTTCTAGAAACGTTTGGGAAAAAGCAAAACATGCACTTCATATAAAGTTAAGAAAGTATCCTCTTGATTGTCAATTTCTGCACAGAATATGCACTCTTTCTTGCAAACAAGAAGCTAAAATGCCCAAACATAAAACACCCAAAACATCAAAGTATTGTCACACTTAACACAAATTACAAGGAAAAAAGAATCAAGCTTTTGCTACAAATAGTGAGTAATAAGAAAAAACAATAAAATCCCAATAGTTACCAGAAGCACCATTGCCATGGGGATCAATTAAAACTGACTGCTCTGAATTCTGCGCGGCATCACACTTGAACACAGCGGAAAACGACCTTGACCTCTTGATTACGTGGCTATAATCACTAGGATTTCTGCCGTGACAAAAACTCAACGATTGCAAGAAGAACAACGATGAAGAAGCAAAAGAAGAGTTGCCATATAAACATGGTAAACTGTTGGATAATCGAAAAGAACTGGTGCTCTGTGTATTTAGTTTAAGAGAAGGCGCCAAGTTGAAGGTAACACAAGACATGATTTGTTCTTTAAAGCTATCAATTAGAATATGAAACAGAAAAGGAGAGGACAAAGAGCAAAAGGGTTTCTGTTGGGGTAGGGTTTAAGGATTTTTACGGACAAAGAAAGGGAATTGAAGCTGGCTAACGTAGTATGCAGAATCTCAAGCTGGCGAGTTTCTTAAACAAAGATTGGCAGGTTGTTCTTCTCCATTGTTTTCGAGAAGCTAATCAAGCTGCTTATGGGCTAGCCAATTTGGCGGTTTCTCATGATTTGGGCAGGCGGGTTCTGCTCCCTCCTCAAATTATGCAGTTCCTGGACTGGGATGAGTGTGGCTTTGTTTGGCCTCGTCTGGGACGTCTGCTTACCTAAGGTTTTGTTTTGGGGTTTTGTCCCTTCCCTTGTATCCAAAAAAAAAACAAAAAACGGAATTGAAAGGGATAGAGTTATGGCTGCGTAAAAAAAGAAAGGATTTTGGGCACTGATACATGGCACGATTCGTTCCTGGATCGGATGAATAAAAATTTGTTACGAGACCACTAATTGCACAAACATCTAGACAAAAAAATAACTAGGCTTTTCAGACTTTTTTAGCTTTGGTACCCCTATCCCTATCATCATCTTCTATCCATCTATCAAGAACTATCCTGCACCGTTGTTGGTTCTGTAAATTCTGCAAATTGAAAAAAAAAAAAACATTAAAAAATATAGATGAGAAACTACAGTATTATGGAACAAACACTTCTATTCTTTTTCTAAAAAAAAAACAAAAGAAACAGATGAGAAATGATAATTCTAAGCAAACCAAATGCAACTTTAGTAAATTATAATTAAATTTAAATTTATAAAAAAATACACTTAAACACAATTCGAATAAAGTAGTTTAAACGCAATAAAACTCGATTTTTGTTATTAAGTCGTACATATTCTTACTAATAAACTATGTATTGATATGCTATAAATATGTTGTTAGTTATTTTTTTTTTAAATAGAAAGGAGGGAATTTAACCCAGAAATTAAGGAAATAAACTCAAACCCACTACTACAAACTGAAAATAAATATAAAAAAAAAATCATTCATAAAATAAAAGAAAATTTGCAGTTGGACAAAATTGCGGACTATGTCTAATGGATCCAGCTATAAAGCAACGAAACAAAATTAATGGACCTTTGAAATTGATAGTCCAATCACTAATGGGCCGAAAGTATATTGAATCTCCTTCAAGTGAGATATCTTCTATGTCTGAGTTGGCCATTAGTCCGATGTAAGACCAGATCAAAATCAGTCCAAGAGTTTCGATTTCAAATCAAACCAAAAATTTCCAATTATCAAACCATCAATCACTATTAATTGTTTCCGTTCTCCTTAAGTCATTTTTTAGTTAAGACTAGAAAATCAAACGATCACTTTGCTTCTTGTAGATTTCAAAGGTTGGCTTTTTGACCAAGTTGTTGATTTCTCTGTAGTCTTTACATGGATCTCAGGATTAAGGGAGTCCTCATGCAAGACGCAACAACATATGAATTTTTTAACTTTAGGTGATTTGATTCCTTTGTGTATTTTATTTATTTATTTTTTTTAATTGGTATAGGAAAAGCACATGGTTTGCAATTTTCTTTTTTTTTTATTTTTTTAATTTTCAAACTGTTGAAACACACTACAGCTAAGGTTTTTTACTATTTTTATTTTAGTTCTTTAGATCTTCAGTTCTAATGTGGACTGACATGACCAGCAATGTGTATATCAACCTGTGCTTGACTATCTATCCCATTTTATGATCTCCTTTCACATTATTGAGTACCACAATTTTCTTCCACCATATTATAATTAGGGTATATTTAAAAAATTATAATTTATAAAGTCTGTTTAATTTGTAGCATTGTCTAATATAAGTTTATAATATATTCCTTATATATAAACATATCACTTACAAAAAAAAAAAAAAGCATAATATTTTTTAATTTAATGAGAGATCTAACGGGTTAAAATAACAGTACAGGCTATATAACAGCGGTATTTTGAATAACATTGTATAAAAACTCTATATCTTGTCCGGAAAAAATTGATCTTGAATACATAATTTCTTTAGACTAAGTTATGATTCTTAGATGCAAGCAGAAGTCAAAGGAAATGAGTTGAACAAAGAATTGGTAGGCATGAATACAACACTAGCAAGACAATGACTAAAACCAAAGAACTAGTGGGTAAGAAAATTTTTTTGTTGATAAGAATTGAGTAAAGGGTCTATACTTCTTTTTTTTTTTTTTTTTTTTTTTTTTGGTAAGGCATGAAATACAACACTAGCAAGACAATTGATAAAACCAAAGAACTAGTGGGTAAAAATTATTTTTGTTGATAAGAATTGAGTAAAGGGTCTATACTTCTTTTGTTTTTTTTTTTTTTTTTGGTACTCAAAAATATTTTGAAGAATGAATTATTGAAGTTTGATTTTTTTTTTTTTTTTTTTTTGGTACCTCAAAATATTTTGAAGAATGAATTATTGAAGTTTGAACTAATTTCTATATTTGGAGATAAGTAGTTGATGATTGTGCTATATATGTGTAGCCAAATCAACACTTATAATTTTATAATATGCAAAAATTTATTATATTTAGATATACTTAATGAATTGCAACAAATTGTGCTATTAATAGACAGTTGATAACTAACACTTTATTACTGTTGCAAATTTGAATTTAAATTTGACTTGGTCTTTGATTTAGCTTTTAGGTTGAATTATAGGTTTTAGAGTTTAAGATCTTCTAGAAGAGATATTATCTTCCTCATTCAGTTTTTTTGTTATTATTCATTTGAAATATTCATTTCAGCCCTCTCATTGAATCATTAAAAAGTATTCGATAAAATTAGCTGTTTTAGTAGCATTTAGCTGTTTTATTGGGTTTTAGTAGCATGAGATAACTTTTTTAAAACAATATTATAACTTCTGAAAGTTAATTATCTTATCGAACATTATAAAAGATAGCGTTTAGTGTTTTGACTACAATCAATTGGTTGTTGCCGAACATAGTCTAAATTAATAAAAAAATTTATAATTTCTCATTCTTTATATAAGTAAGAAAATCAATCAGACTACAATCAATTGGTTGTTCTTCAAACAGTTTTAGCATTATGATTAGTTGCATTTCCCTTGATAAAAAAAAAAACTAATAAAAAAACAATTAATAATTACACTAAGTCACAACCAAAAACACTAAAAAAAGAAATTACCAACATTTGCCATGTCAATAATAATTTTAACAATTTTACACTTTTTCTTTGTTGTATCGCTGGATCTACCATCCTCTCATTGCACAAAAACCAACTGTCTAACCCACACCATGCATTTGTTTAAGGGCATTGTAACCTTTTATGTCCCATCCATAGAGTCCTTAAAATCAGATTAATAGGCCCCACAACCATAACCTTCCCATTGTCTTTACCTATATATCACCCTCCAATCTCTATCTTTAACGTACAATAAGACTAGGAAAATCTCTAAAGGTCATAGCCCCACACCCTTTGCCCTTTTCTGCTGTCCAAGCAAAGAAAAAAATATATAAAATCAAAATGAAAGGTTACTCCAAAATCAAAATAATTTCCTCTGTCCAACCAAGATCCATGGACATCTCAGATCCTTTATTTCTTGAACCCACAAAAGCCAATAACTATACAGATAATACCCATTTCAAGAAAACCCAAGAAACCAACTTCAGTAATTTGGTGAACATTAGCCCTAAACCTCTCACCAACAAAATCAAGAATCAAGAATCACCACTTTCTTGGATTCAAGAAGATCAAGCAAGCAATAACAATGGAGAAATCTTTAATAGCTACAAGCTTAAAAGAAACACTTCAGTTTCTTCTGGAGAAATCTTTAATATCCAGAAGCTTAAAAGAAACTCTTCAGTTTCTTCTGCTTCTACTGCAATCCATTCTGCTGTCAAAAAAGCATTTTCCATGAAAAGATCTTCTTCAGTATCTGAAAGGTATTGTAGGATCCATGACCAGTCTTTAGCTATACCATCAACTACTTGCGGTGGTGGTGATGATGATGATGATTCTTTGGACACAACAAGATCTATGAAGAGAAAGAATAGCAAAAGGATCCTTAGAGCCTGTAAGAAACTTCTTGGACTGTAGCTTACTTTTTTTTTCTGCTTTTTCATTTTGTTTTTAAAAAATTATGTTACCTTCTCTTATTGTCTGTTTTGTTATGGGTTTGTAAAATAGTGAAGTAGATTTATCTATTCAAATAAATATACTTTTGTTCTTGTGGTGCAAAGCAAAGGCAAAGGCAAGAAGGCTGTAGCTATTGTGACTTTGTGTAATTTTATTTTGTCCAATCTTGATCACTATTATTATATTCGAATGATGATGCCATTTATTCTCTTGAAAATTGTTCTCTTTTCTTAACTTTTCCTCCAAAAGCATTATTTTACCCATCATGTTAATTGCCATGCACTTGCTAGCTAGCAGGCTCATTGGAGATGATGAAGTTATTTCAGAAAAAAGAAATTAAATAATAATAAAAAAGAAGAAGATGAAGAAGAAGATTATTTCAATGTTGTTAGGACCAAATCTCAAACAGTTTGCATTGCATATGGTAGTTAGTTGTGTTTTTCCTTTATTTTTGGAAAATTATTGCTCATACTGACTTCTTTTAAGAAGTGAAGGAAAGAAAGTGCACATACTTTTACTAAATTTTCCAATAAAATTTCAATTAATTAGTCAATTTTTATTTAGGAGTCAACATTTGTTCAATTAATCAAGAACCAAAACAGTTTAATTTTTTAAATAATTTTGTATATAATAAACAGAATTATATATGTTTATATATCATTCTAATATATACAGTATTTTTCTTGAAATTTTATTTTTATTGGCTTTTAAAGTTTAAAAAAAAAAAAAAGGAATTCCATAAATGTATTAGAGATTAAAAAAAAAAAAAAAAATCCCTAAATAAATGTATTAGAGATTAAAAAAAAAAAATAAAAAAAAAAAAAAATACCCCTAAAATATTTTTTGGAAGTATTATCTACCCTTGCATAGGATTCTTTTATATTGGCACTCTAATTTTTGATAAAACAAATTGAAAGTTGAGCTGGATATTTGTCAATCTGGCTCAAAAAATTGCTGCCTTTGGTTCTTGCCAACTTACCTATAACATGTGTTTCATTTTCACAATTAGGGTTAGCTATTATTGCTCATCTTTAATTTCTTTTGGTTCCCTTTAGGACAATCAAATTCAAATCCTCACTTTCATTTTCTAACAATCTTGTATGTTTCGTTTCTGATTTGTCATTTTCTGTGTTTTTGGTCTTATACCTCATAAATTCTTTCCCTGTCTTCTTGGTTGGTTTAGTATTCTTTTTCTACCCCACAAAAGAGACATAATTATAAAATGGATTCATGATTTCTGGAATTTGTTTATGTTACTAACAATTACTTCTATAATATTTTATCTTTGTAATTTAAAATAAAAAATCAAACCAAACTTATTTAATTTAATTTTTTGGTTCAGGTTTTCAGGTTCATCAATTTGATTCAGTAACCTCAATTTTTTATTTATGGTTTAATTGTAAAAAAAATGAGTTAATTTTGCTCATAATTGAACCGAATCATTTCGATTTGATTTTAAAAATGAATATAGTTGGATATTCGGCTTTTTGATTTGGTTCAAAACCAAGCCAACCACCATTCAAATGTATTTTTAGTGCAACGGCTTAAAGTAATATTTCCTGGTTTAATCAATAACTTAAAATTAGAATAAATTACGGTAGTAATTATGCATAATTTACCGTTGGATTAATAGTTAGAGATCAAAGAATTCAAATCTAGCCTCCATTTTCTCTCAAACGGATGTGTCTTATCTAATTAAAAAAAGAAAATTGCACATTAAAAGATTGTCTAATGGTAAAATTTAAAGTTGGGTTATTAATGGAAGTGAAGTTCTTTTCTCTCTTTTCTCTCTAGTCTTTCAACCCTAGTTTTGTTTTAGGACTGCCGTTATTTATCAGCAATAGCCACTACCTCCTACTTTTTATTCTCCTTTTTGTTTCAATTCTTTTGCTTTTAATCTTTTATTCACTTTAATAAATTCAGATCTATTATTTTCTACAATAGATTTGTCCTTTTTTTTTAGTTTTGTTATTGTTATTTTGTCTTCATATTTGGAGTTTATTACTAATTAAAATAACATGATATTTGATTTTATTTAGTTGAAAACTTTAGATATTGATTTATAGGTATAGAACTTCGATTAATGGAGTCTGGTAGTGCGGCATGTTTCTCATTTTCACTTCACTTCTTTTTGCTTTTAATCTTTTATTTACTCTAATAAATTCAGATCTATTTTTTTTACAATAGATGTGTCCTTTTTTTTAGTTTTTTTTTTTGTTATTGTTATTCATATTTGGAGTTTATTACTAATTAAAATAATATGTGTTTGATTTTATTGGTTGGAGATTTTAGATCTTGATTACAAGTGTGGATCTTGATCAATGATAGTGCGACCTGTTCCTTTATTGATGGTATTGATGCATAGTGATGTAAACTCATCTGTATTTGATATATATTGCAAATTCTTGAAAAAACAATCTAGGTATAGAAGATCTAAAAGAGTTATTATTTTGTCGTCCAAATGACTTGATGGATTAAGTGCTGCTATAAAGATTTATATCTTTTGTCAATAACAAATCCAAGCAGGAAGATTCAACATTATATTTTTTTTTTATTTTAGTTTTATTATTCAAATTCAAAAGAATATGAATTCTTTTGATCTGTTAAAAGATTAGCAAACTCTGCTGGCTACTAATAGTAGAGTAGTTCTATGTCATATATATATATGTATATATATATATATAAATAAGTATTTGTAATTCTTAATATTATTATTAATAAATTATATTTTCAAAAAAAAAAAATTGTAATTCTTAATATTATTATTAATAAATTATATTTTCAAAAAAAAAAAAGTCTAATGGTAAATATATCTTCAATCTTATCAATAGATCCAGTTCGTATCTCTTATATGATACTCAAAAAATTAAAAAAGAAAATTGTATAATGCACAATTTATGGAAATCGTAAAGAAGATGATTTTACTAGATCTTGGAGCTCTTGGGTTGGGGTTAGAGAGTTCTTAACGAAGTTGAGCAAATACCTGTAAATATATATTAGGCCCAAATAAACAGAAAACAAAAAACAAACCGATAACATCGGCAGTTGACCGGTGGGCCAGCTCAGCGATTGCGGCAGCGGGTCCCGCTCACATGAGCAAAAGAAGGCCCAGGAGCAGGCACGCAAGGTTGTGGGGCCTCGTTAAACTTTAGTCGCCACGTATGTTTGATACGTGTGTCTTCGACGGGTTTCGGGACATTAACATAACAATTGGGGAAAGAACGAAGTTACCTAGTTGACCTTTCATTGAGAATTCTGAAAATTTTTTGTTTTCGGTTTTGGAAAACATTTTTCATCTTCTTGCTTATAAACTTGTGATTGTGGCTCTTGTCAATCAAATTAAAAACAAAAAATAAAAAATAAAAATAAAAAATAGTGATTTTTACTTTGTTAATAACAAACACATAGGGATGATTATGTGAAACCATTGTTCGCTGTTTCATAATTATTTCAATAAAAACTTAATTGAGTTCGCTTTAAAACACATATAAGTTAATTGAGTCAAATTGCTCGTGAGTTGTTTAACGTTCACTGTAAAAAAAAAAATTTGCTGGAGCTCATTCTTTAAGTTTATCTAACTTATTTAATAATGAGCCGAACTTGAACCCAGCTTATTAACTCGTGAGTCGTCTCACGAACCAATAATTATTGAGTCAAGTCCACAAACCAATTTATGAACTAATTTTGTTGAATCAAGACAAGCTCAATAACTAGTTCAATAAATCAAAATTAATTAAATTTATATTAAAATGATATAGTTTTGATTTTAATATATTGTGAACATAAGCTCAAAGTCCATGCATTTATATTTATCAAGCTAAACTCAAACTGAGCTATTTTTAAAGAAGTCGAGTTGGAGTTTTAGTTTTCAAAATTCGAAGCGAGCTCGATTATATCCTTGTCAAGTGGAGCTCAAGCTCACAAAATCTCATCTCAACTCGTTTACAACACTACATGCACACACCTCCTCTGGATTATAAGTTTTCTTTGTGAAATATTTATCTTTCCATCTCATAAAAATGAAAAAAAAAAAAAAAAACTCATCTTTCTTTTTTATTTACATTTGAACTATAATTTATTTTCCTTTAATGAAATTATCCTATATCAGAAAAATATACTTTTACTTTTTTGTATTACTCCAAAATATAGCTATTTTCTAAATTTGAGCCATTTTTTCTTATTATGTGTAAAAATTTAAAGATAAATATTTTTAGTTACAACTACAATTTTAGTTAGTTTTTTTTTTCTTAATATATCCATGTATTAAATATTAATGATTCGTATTTCAAAATTAAGGAATAAACTAATAATAATTTTTATTATTATTTTATTTATTTCAAGATTTGATAAAATGTTCATAGTAATTTTTCATTGATAAATATGTATATTAAATAAAGATAGAATAAAAAAATTAAAACTTATAAAAAAGAACATAGAATTACGATTTGGGACAAATAAACAAAGAAAATGAGTCTAATACTTGTATTTTTTTTAATATACCTTATATTTTAAATATTACTTTTAATAAAAAATTAATAAAACAAAATATTTCATACTGAGACATAGTCTAACGGTAACAGATATTCTGCGGTTTCATTCTCCTTGCAAATTCTCATCCATTTATTTCTTAAAATTTGTTAGAATGCATTTTGTTTGCTGTTGCAGTCTGCAACCATCCTCATATCCTTCGCCTCCAATTTTATTACCACCTTAGCAATTTCATACATGAAACAAAAAAAAAAAAAATTTCATAACTGATATATAGGGTTATATTAGTAATTTAAAAATTAACACTTCTAAAAACAAACAAATTAAAAAAAAAAAATTCAAGCTCGAATAAAAATGGAAAGAAAGAATAAAAACCTGTGGCTAGCGAGAGAAATAGGAATTTCACCTTAAAATTTAAATACTAATATTATTTTTCCCCATTAAATCTGCGAGCCGAACAATTAAAACAAGAAAAAGAAAATAAAAAATTCCGCTGTCAATCGTTTCTTCTCCAATTTTTAATTTTTTTTTTTCATTTTCTTTCTCTTTCTGACCCTATTTCAGTTTCCATGTTATATGTTACGAGTACTTATCCATATCGTGGTTATTGATAGAGAAACAAAATAATTGAAGACATTCAGGACAATGGCTGTTCAAGCCATCGCTACCGATGGCGGCGGAGGCAGCGTTGATATTGGACCGGCGTCCGGAGCGTCATCTCCGAAGAATAGAATAAAGTTTTTGTGTAGCTATGGCGGGAAAATATTGCCGAGACCCACCGATGGCCACCTCAAGTACGTCGGCGGCGATACACGTGTTATTGCCGTTCCAAGAGATATTACCTACACAGGTTTGGAAAAAAAAACTTATTTGTTATATAATTCATCGCAAATTAATTCTGAAATGTCATTGAAAATTTAAATTTCTTGATGGAAATATCTATGATTAGGAGATTGAAAAGAAATTTTGAAAAATAATTAAAAAAAAAAGAGGGTTATGTAGCCTTTGATTGAAAAGGAAAAAAAAGCTTTGATCTTTTAAATAAATTTAGGCCAAAACAGAAAGCGCCAAGGCTAGGAGAATAAAAATTTTGCATGCTTTGAACTTTGAACATTGGTGGAAGAAGGATTAATCTGGCCTGTTGAAATGGAAAGAAGGAAGAAGAAAATAAAGAAGCTGAATATTTGGGTTGAAGCTTGATTTGGTGGGGAAATAAACTTCAAAAATTGGGTGGCCAAAAAAAAGATGAGAAAAAATATTTTGAAATTATAGGATAATATGAATAAATTTCAACTTTGGTGTTATTGTAATTAGCAATTTTAAAAATATATATGAAATACACTAGTAATAAAAATAATTCTAGAGAAATTAATGGTCAAAAAGATAAATTGGATGAACAAAATTGGTGAGACAACATGTGACTGAAGTCTCACATATTAAGATTTAAGACCTTAAGATTTCCTTTGCCCCATGTTTGAGGATCATATAGTGCATGGAAAAGCCAAGTTCTAGTGTTAAATTTGGATTCTTCAAATGGACAAAACAAGTATGACCAGTCTACCCCTTTTCCTGAAAAATTCTTTTTGGCTTAGTGCTTTCTGTCAAATGGTATCTGTTAATTATTCAACTTTTTTTTTCTCATTTTGGCTTTTGAATATATATATATATATATATATATTTTTTTTCTCATTTTGGCTTTTGAATAATATATATATATTATATATATATATATATATATATAAATGGGCTATCCAATGACAAAGTTCATCCTTTTGGGGATAATATATGTAATATGCAGAGTTAATGAAGAAGCTTAGATCAGAATTTGACGGGGACGTGGTCCTGAAGTATCAGGTAATGCCTGAAGATCTTGATGTCTTGGTATCTGTAAGAACTAATGAGGATTTGAAGCACATGCTTGATGAATATGACCGCCATGAAAGTGAAGGAATTGCAAAGCTTCGAGCATTCCTCTTCCCTTCCACTCCTATTGTACTTGAGAATCTAAGTACCCCCACAGATCCTCATGCTATGGAACATTGTTACATTAATGCCATCAATAACACAGTTCGAACACTAGCCAATTTAAAACCTCCCCTTGTCAATTCAAATCGCACCTCATTTAGCATATCTGCCTGCACATCTCCAAAAACCGGTTCCCCTGAAGGCAGCATGGTTGATGGCATCCCTCATGAAACCCTTGTCATAAATACCTATCATAATAATAGGTTTCCTATTCATAAAGTACATAGCTCTCCTAGTCTTTACAGCCTCAACAACAATGCCTCTCACCAGCAAAGCAATCACCATTTCTATCAGCATCATCACCAATATTATCAACATCAACAACAGCAACACCATCCGCATGGCTATCAATCTTCTAGACCACCTCATGAGCCTCGAAGACTGACACCAAGTTCTTCATTTGCACGGCCAGACGTTGGGAGATCCTCAGCCCCTATTATTCCTATGAATCAATACTACACAAACATGCAAAATATGGGGAACTTAAATATGCACGGTAATTGGAGCTCAAATGGGCATAATATGGGGATTGGAAACTCTGGTAATAAACACGGGCACTATGATAGTCGTCCGCCAAGTCCTGGGAATAAAGTTATGGAGTAGACCATGAGATAGAATCGGATATGAGATACAGTTCATTAGTAGCTGACTTGAAGTGCTCAAAAGGGGGGATAGAAGATTATTTGTTTGGGCTTCTTCTTCACTCTATACATGCTCTTTATATTATGTCCCTAGACATAAAGAAAAAGAAGACATATAGTTACCTTTTGATATGGTGTCTTATATGGCTGTGTTCTGGTTTTGTGAAGTTTTAATGTCAGTTGTGAAGGAACCATAAAAGCTTTACAGGGTTAAAGAAGCTATAGTTTATTACCTTTGAAGTAAAAGTGTTTGCACTTGTGTAAAAATAGTTTAGGGGATCTTTTTCTTTTGATATTTTAATACTCTACTGGACATTATCTATATGGTTTTTAAGGGTTCTTTATGCTGTGTGGAGTAATTTGCAGAAAGCAAAAATTAAATATTACTCAATAAGCCAATGTTTCCGTTCCACATAGATACATTTCAATTGCATAGCTATTCACATTGATCCTTATATATTTTCTTTTAACAAATTTATGTTTGTTAAGTAGCTAACTATGGATTCGAGACTTGAAATATTAAAAGTTATAAATAAAAAGATTCTAAATGCTAACTATGGATTGTTAAGTAGCTAGAGATTTGCAAATTAGAATAGTTGAAAATATTAAAAATTTATGTACAGTTTGTTTACAAAAATTATGTCCTATATTATATTTTAATGACTATAGTTACAACTATGGACAATGAAATTTATTTCATACATTTAATATAAATTTTAATTTAATTTATTTATCTAATTACAAAATTATTCAAGTTATTAAAGTGATTAAAATTGCTTTTCAAAGTTTTAATAGCTAAAAGTAAGTCGTCTTTTAGAAAAAAAACTAAAAATAAATTTTATTAATATAAGTGTTTAAATCAACAAAAAAATTGTTAATAGAAAAAATATTAATAATATATGTATTTATATAAACTATAGCTTAATAAAGATATTCAAAATATTTTTTTCAATTTGACATTTAGTAATTATTGTTTATGAATTTTTTTAAAAATCATTTTTTTTTTCAAATTAAATATAAATGTTTGCATAAGGTCTCTCATCCATTATTTCATCTAATGGTCAATTTTTAAACGATACAAATCTAATGGCTACGAATTGTTCTCTATCACTGCAGAATTAATAGTAATCTGCACCGTAGTTTCACCCTTGATTTTAATTCACCGCGGCATAGCTCGGTGTCATCCGCTTGTCACACCTGCATTCTCCTACAAGTCAGCAACCTTTACAACGACGCTACCTACCATTCATTCCGGCGCCCCGCCAGTGAAATTTATACAAATCCTCTTTAGGATTTGAAAACTCACTGTATAAGCAATTCATCAAACATGTTGTTTTACAAACTTTTCTTCATCCGTAGTTCAATTTTCTCTCAATCGACAGTCCCACGAACTTCTCTTTATCGATAGTATAACTTTCGCAATCGCAAATTCACAATGGCAAGAAGAAAAACGAAGCGAGTTTTGAAGTAGCCAGTAAGGGTGGAGAAGCTTGAGACAACCTTCACTTGCCCGTTCTGCAACCACCGCCACTCTGTTGCGTGCGTCGTTGATAGAAAGTTTGGATTTGGAGAAGTAGAATGCAGTATCTGCGAAGTTAACTACGTGTGACCAAGCTCAACCGTTTGACGGAGCCGATTGACATCTACAGCGAGTGGATCGATGAGTGTGTTGGGGTTAACACAGCTTGAAGATGGTTCTTTGCACTACAAAAAAAACGCCATTTTGCGACCGACAAATCGGTCGCAAAATGGCAAAAATCGATCGCTATTTATACTTTGCGACCGATTTGCGTTTGCGACCGACAAACGTCGGTCGCAAAAGTCACTGGTCGCAAATGTTAATTGCGACCGATGGAGAATCGGTCGCAAATTAGAGGACCGATAAGTCGTCGCAAATTGAAAAAGGATACTGGTTCGCAAATTTTGGTCGTGGGTTTTAATTTTGGAAAATTCAGTCGCAAACTTTTGGTCGCACAATATCTGTCGCAATTTTTTTAAATCGTGCAATCGGTCGCAAATTAATAAAATTCAAAAAATTTTTGTCTTTGGTATCAAATCCGTCGCAAATCCAGGGTCGCAAAAATTGAACAAAGGGAATAAAAAAAATTAAATATTATTTTTGAAATTCAAAAAAAAAAAAATTTTTTCGTACACCTGTGAAAGTTACATAAATGCAATAATACACCACACGCAATTCAGAACAGTTATAAAAAATGTAATTTTTATTGTTTCTGAACAAATTAAAAATGAAAATACAAATGAAAAATAAAAGTCGGAAATCAAATCGTACTATATGCTGCTGCTCATCTGCAGGATCGATGGCGGACCGCCGGGAGGTACCTGCTGGGATGTGATGTAGGCCAGGAGGGTGAGCAGGTATCGCCTGCAGCATCGGATCAGGACAGATAGTGGCTGCTGCTGAGGAACGTCGAAACATGTCGGTCTATGTAGCAGGCGCAGATCAGAGGAAGAATTACCAGCACGGTCCTCACCCGGGAACAGACCGCAGCAACGATGCGCTCTAAGCTGCTGCAATCTGTCTCTGCTTGATCAGCAAGTGAGCCCGTGATATCAGTCATATAGTGCGAGGCCAGTGTGCGTCCGGCTGCGGTGCTTGCGCTGGCTGTGAGGCGTGAGCTGCTGACGCAGTGTAAACTGTGCATGCCTGAGACCCGATGCGTATACCTTTCTCTTCTTCTCGCCCCCTACAAGCTCAGAGATTAAGCGCTACCTCGCAATTCTTGACTCAGCTTCGGATTCATCAGGTCTGAGAAGTACAATACGCTCCCGAGCGTAGTATAGTTCTCCTTGAAATAAAAAATTAATTTAATCGAAGCAATTTGCAAGCAATTTATCATATAACTGTACATCTTTTTCTTTTTCCCAATGATTTTTAGGCGGTAAATGTAAATATTATTCATTGTACTTACATTGACGCTCAGCGCCGAACGTCTGTCGGACAAGGTAATTACGATCGGTGGGTCTTCGTGTGGTGTATGTAAACCCCTCCACGGTGTGGGCTTCCGACATCGGTGTGGGCTCACGACCTAATTCTTTAGCCTGTAATGAATTTTTATGCATGATATATTAATATATATATTGTCCTTTCATTAAACATCAGTTTCTTGCAAAGGGACTAGTTCACTTACTAATAATCGAGCTGTCTCTATAGCAGATATAGATCCGCCTGTGTGTCGCGAAGGTCCTGCTCCATCCCCGCCAGTCTCACTGCGCCTGTTTTGTGCAAACATCTCCCGCTTTCTCTTGAATGCAGGATCCTCCCAAGCCTTTTGCCAGCTCTCCCATATCTCCTGAGACACGCACCGTTGTTTCTTACCGCTTCTTCTCATCCTATAGGTGAAGTCAGCGTATCGATCGGCGCATATCTTCTCCCAGGCTACTTTCAGCATAGCCGTAATGCCGATATGAAATGTTTCTTGCAAAAAATAATTATAGCGTTTAAACACTAGGATTTATCTTGATTGTAAACATTGAATCTGATTGATGATTATAAGCTTAAACCAAAGAGTACTGAACTCCTCCCAATAAAAAGTCTCTTCGCCTCTTGTGGTACGGCAATCCCATGTGTATCCTTCTTTTGCAGCTGGTAGGCTTTGATTATTCTTCAAAAATTTGCCTCCGCTGCTCCGAGAGATGGCTATATGCTGAAAAAAAAACAGAGTGAAATAATAATACACGAAAGGCCACACAGAGCCATGAACAAGTCAAAATTATAATTACAAATATCCTACGGAAATCTGCAATACGAGTACTTACTGGTCCCGCTACCCAAATGAGGGGTGATACGTGGATCTGATGAAGCTGCAAATAAATGACAAATGTTTATACATTTCTAGATTTTAATAATTATTTAATTAAAAATGACAGTTATCGAACATTTATGTTTACTGCCAAGTGGGTGGGACTATTTGGCAGCTAGCTGGAGTCTGTAATGGTCCAGAAACGGGGGATCAGAGAGAAGGAGCAGAGGCCGTTGTGGCGGCAGTACCTGGCGCTGAGCAGAGGATAAAGCCCCAGAGTACCGAAGAAGGGATGTAGAATGGGCAGGCGAGTACCGGTCGCTTGAGCGATGACGAGCCCCAAACGTTAACCCCCCCCCCCCATGACGACAGGCAAAGGATCGACCCTAACTCCAGTCCACAGGGCACTGCGTCCCAGGTACAGAACGGCCTCCACGTCGGGGAACACTGCCGGACGCGTCAGAATGTCAAACGCTCTGCCGTCTAGCCATCTTGTACTGCAGATATCAAGAACCTCAGATTAACTGAATTTATACATTATATGAATTGTAAAATGTTCGGGTAAATTTACGACGTAAACAAGTGAATACCATTTTGAAATTCTTCATTATAATATTAAGTTGCATATACATTTTATCAATTCTCTAACAGTAAAAATTGCTCTAAAGTTTTTAAGTGTCTTCATTATCATCTGCTTCCTCCTCCTTCTTCATCAAGCTTCCTCCTTTTCACTATTCGTCTTTCTTGAGTACCATGATGCGAATTTGTCTTCTTCCCTTCTTCATCATCTGATGCTCCTATTTCAACATAAGATCGGCTTTATCATCCAACCTATAATCTGTTAAATCTTCAACAACTTTGCATTCCGGTTGCGTTTCAAACCCTAACTTCTTTGAAACATTGCCTTCCGGACTTACTGCGAGTGAGAAAGGACATGTTTCGTTTCAAGTGCCTATGAACAACTTGATCTAGCTTGATTTACACACTGCCATTCAATCGCATTTCTATCTCGTTTAACGATCGGGAATATGGACATAGCACACTTGTTGCAGGGCTTGCATTTGCCAAACAAACGTTCATTACTTTGTATATCTTCTTCTTTGATTAATATCAACACGATTATCTTATGGATGAACCTTCGTGCCAATGTTTGGCGTAGGATCACAACCATTCACATTTGAAATAAAGATTGTGCACTTTCATTTGTGTAGGCCTGATTTTAACTCCCCAAACAAACCTCAACCAATTTTCCCATAAAATATCGTTTGACAACCCGTCACTGTAGTTTGATTCCCTTTTGCACACACCGCTGTTCTTGTCTTTCTGCTCTCCCTAACCCTCAGAGTGTGTGAAATTGTAACCGTTACAAAGTAGACCAGATTAGGCATTAAGCACGGTAATGGCCCCTTTGCCAGAATCGTAAATAAAATCTGTTACGAATATCGCTTCCGAGCTTCGAGCCTATAGGAAAATAGTTAATGACATGAGTCATAATTTAATATGTACATTCCGTGTTGTGTACATTGAAAGTTAACTTACATAATATGTGAATCCATTCTTTGCAAATTCCGTGTCCAGCTTTGATCAATGCCAAGTATCAGTCAGATTGAATTTTTGAAGCCGCAGATGATTGATTTTATTCCCTATTTTATGAACGAAACCATATTGCCATAGTATACTTTAACAACGGGCCAACATCAAGTCTAGAATGTATTACATTATTTTATACTTACTGTAATATTTGGATGTGATCTCTCGCAAATTCAATAATATAGGTTTGAGCCGCTTGTATCTCATGCATCAGTCAATCGTCTATTTTTGATTTACCACGTACGCCCAAGGGGTCAGGTGAAAATTTTTAGTAGATTTTCCTTCAAACTAGAATTTGAAACGCGATCTCTCCGGTTTCATCGTTACGTGCACTCTCCGTGCTTGGTGGAAAACATGTTGGGTAAGATAGTAGCGAACAGAAATGGAAGCTCTACTTTCAACCAATGCATTGCAATGGATCCCTCCGACCTTTGCGCTTATTGGGCACATTCTTTTTAATTTTACTGCAGGTGTTCTGTGATTGTACATGCCAATATGTAAGTATAAGTTCAAATAAATGATGTAATCATTAGAATCGAGATGTAGTGAATAAAACCGGCTAAATGGATTAATCCATCGATATTGTACCGGTCTGCTAACGACATTCAGTTAGGCAAATGAACCGGCAGATGTTTCCCATAGAATCAAAAGCGGCGTGGAAACAATTTCGCTCCAACATTGCACATTCCAATTGGATTTCCGCGCTAATTGGTCACATATCATCGCATCGGATAACAGTCATCGTTCAAATTCCTTGGAAAAAAGACTCAATTCTGTCATTGCTTCCCAATTTTTCCTACGGTAAAATAATTCCGGAATGCACAGGAATCATCTTTGCATGAAAACATCGAGCAGTCATGGCTTTTCATGCCAAACAATCTGTACTTCCTCATGTCCACACATCTTTACCCATAATGTGAACAGTAGCCATCTTGGAACCTTACATGATCGTAACCATTTCGCACAATAATTTGCCTTTTGGGGTTTATCTAAACAATAACAGCCTTCGGAACTTACAGTAAGTACTAGTTTGCTCGAGCATAGTTTTGGTCGACGACAAATTTTCCTTCATGATCCGCTTTGCTTTTCATTATCCTTGGTTTTCTGTCAATGTTCATGACAGTGTTGAAACAGTTTTCAACACATTTTTCTTATGTGCATATGTGCATGACATCAAGGTTATGACGGATAAGAAGTGAACTCCAGTATGGCAAATCCCAGAAGATGCTTCGCTTTTTCCACCCGCTATTCCTGCCAAGTATTTTATTTACCTCATCTGCACCCAACTCTGTAACTTTCATAAGCCCCAGATCTTTAATTTCTTGTAATATTTCTGCTCCAGACTTCACAGGTGGCGGGGGTTCAACAATAGTCGTGTTCTTTCTAAAACATTGTCGATTTCTCCTCCAAGGGTGAGACTCTGGTAAGAATTTGCGATGACAATCAAACCAACATTGTTTACCTCCATTCTTTAGTGTAAATGCATTAGTGTTTTCCATGCAATGAGGACAAGCCCAAGCAAAGGCAGCTCGCATTATGGAAATTCTGATTGCGTTGAAATATCGGAATGTTTGAACCCATAATTCCCATAAATAATTAAGTTCGCATTCAAAGTGCAGAAACACACATCATTTATAGTTTTGTTTAGTAGGACCAGGACAATACACACCAAAACATATATTCATTCTTTCAATACACTTGTGTCGGTGAATATATATTGTGTACCATGATGGCGTGATGAATATTGATGTCTGATTGGCGAAACGGCTCGAACCCATCAGTACAAAGCCCCAATCTCACGTTTCTTTATTTCGAGCAGAAACAGAGGATGAATGGTTATCAAAATTGTTTCACGCTCTTCAGAGTCTGGCGAATGGTCTTATACTTCCTTTCATATTCATGCAAAGCAGTGCCATGTCATGTGGTCAGCTATCGGCCTGTTGATTGATTATACCTTTGAGGCGAGGAACAAGAGGAATAATACATCTTCTGAAAGCCTTCTTCCCTTTGTTTACGCTACCAGTCCCTTGACCGCGCGTTGAAGTATTTGGGAAGATTACACAAACTTGCATTTCTGAATTCCGAGTCACACCCAGGAATATCATTATGACAATTATTACGGGGCAATCAATCTTTTTCTACCGGTAGGTCCCATCCCGGAACTAATTTTTTTGGTCTGATTAAAAATTATCACCCTTGAATGCCTTCAGGCAACATTTCTTTTGCTAACTGGAACAAAAATTCCATCGTAACACCTTTCTGAAAAATGGTTTGCTCTGCTTCATGTGTAGTAATCGTGCCAACAACAGAGAACTGATATGATCTTGATCCAGGCACAGTTTCAATGTTAGCTGCAACTTAGCTGTCAAACAAATTGTTGTGCTGCTTACATTTGCGCGATTTCCTCCATATTATCAATCAAATTGTACTCTCTCGCATCGATTACCATATCATTTGCATTGATACCATACAGAAATTGATTAAGGCTGAACTTTCTAAACTTTCCGGAATGGAGGTGAGCCTGACCCACTGGCAACTCGAGTTTCACCTGATTGTATGCCATTCGTAATAATTTTTCCGACGAACCTTTTTGCACAATTGAACAGTTTCACTGCTATCGATGGTTCTAAAGAGCTCGATTTCGACACTTCTTGGTGATTACATGGACACCTCAACTTATTCCCATCCATAAAATGGGATACCAACTGCAAACTACTGTATAACGCCTCCAATCGTGCAGGAACTCTTGTCTTAAATATCCCAGTTGGACCGACTCCCAGTACATCCCAATCTCGATTATCTTTGCATTTTGTTACCTAATTACAATCATGGTGTTTAATCAAGGTGTAAATTTATATGTAATGCATTAGTCTGATCTAGCCTTAAAACATGCCACTAATTGTAACTGTTCAAGTTATACACTTTATAACTAACTAAGGTTATTTCTATAATAAGGGGGAACTATAGATTAATGTAAAATAATAAGTTCATTTATCAATACAAAGGTTATATATATTATATATAATATTATATAATTATACTTATAAATAAAGGTAAGTGTACTATTCTAACATATTGGAATTTATTGAAAAATTCGTGGCAGCATTTCGGCACAACACTATCAAATTCTCAAATAGAAAGACAACTTCAATAAACACTTCCTATTACATATCAACATTCTCCAAAGGCAACATGGCCACTACTAGGCCTCCAATCCAAATCATCATTAACAGACTTGCTCAAACAACATTATCACAACAAAGTTGCAGTTAGAGTATAAAAACTGCCAGCACTATTACAATTATCACAACCTGCATTCAAATTCAATCTTAAGTTAACTTAAAACGCCAAAATTCATTTCTTAGTGAGGGTTTCTTTTTTATTTAAACTTAGGGCAGTAGTGGGCCAAGTACATGTGATAATTACTATAACTAAAACAACGCGTTATTTTTCGTATTTATAAAAGCCCATAATTCTTTGGGCCCTTTAAACCATCGCCTTATTAAATTGGGCCCCAATGAGCCCACCTCTATCTTTTCTTGTTAACTAGCTGTTTAACTTTTTCTTTTTTTATTTAACTTATAATGTTAAAATTATTTTATAAAATATTTTAATTGAAATATATTGAAAGCATTTTCAAACAAGTTGTCGTTATCCATTAGAAACGGTGAAAATTATTAAAAAATAAATTAACAAAACACCACTTTTGTCAATGCAACTGTAACAACAATGACAAGTAAGTTTATTATTGAGAATGACAAATAAATTATAAAATTTTTATATATTTGTTGTGTTTCAACGTATTTATTATCTTATAATTTTTGACGTAAGGATGGTTAGACTGGCGACAATAATTTCTCGTGAAGTGACATAATTATTAAAACTAAGAGTTGGGTGCCACATATATTTCATAATTTAACAATTATTTTAAAACATTAATAATAAAAAAAATATTTATCATATTGATGTAAAATATGCTAATAGGAATCCCCCAAAAATCAATACTTTCTCATCCAGCTAACCAAAGTTTGGGGAAATCTTTTGTGTTTGTTATTACTATAATTTCTATATTCTATAATTAATAATTTTATTTAAATATTTTTAAAGAATTTCTTTTTATAATGTATTTGGAACTCTTTGTACGTTATGATTTCTTTACCAACTCTTGATGGTTGATTCTATCTTCATAGTTAAATTATTCATGTATAATTATTTCATATTATTATATTATATTTTAATATAAATTTAAATGAATGCGATTTTAATTTGTATTTTTTAATTTAAATATTTACTTATATTTTATCAGTTAAATACCCAAAAGATATGATTATATGATTCATTACTTAAAATATGATCATTTTTCTGCCAAATAAATTGAAAGTTTTATTTATTTAATAAATTATTTTAATTCAACTGACATAATAATTTATTTTTTTTTCATTTTGAAAATTCTTCATTATTCAATTCAATTCCTTATTATTTTTTTTTATTAATTACAGGACCATATTAAGATTTAATTTGATAATTGCAATTAATCTTAATGAAATTGAAATTATATTTTATTATTAATTAGTTAATTTATTATACAATCTCCATTATTTATTAATGTTATTAACTTATTAATAAACAGGTCACCAGTAACAATAATAATAAATCGACAATTAAATAATATTTACAAGATAATAATAAATTGACAAATGAAAACAGTAGACACGCATAACAATATTTACCAATAATTAATAATCATTAACGATAATAACAGTAACAATAATAATAAATTGAAAAAAACACCAACAAAATCGAACAAAAACAATTTCGCAAAAAATTAATAACCAGTACAACAATTTAACGATATTAACAATATAATATTATTAACGTAATACAGTAACAATACATAATAAATTGAAAAAAACACAAAATCGCAAAAAAAAAAAAAAAATTGGAAAAAAAAATAAAATGGTCACCGGCATTACCTCAAAATTGTGTCCAACCGGTGGCGAACGCCGTAGAGGAGTTGACTGGTTAGCGTCCGGTGCGCGGCGTCACACAGTGGCTGGAGCGTTCTCAGGAGGGCTGGAGGCGCCGCTGCGGATGGAGGAGAAGAAGAGGAGAGGAGAAGGAGAAGAGAAGAAAAGAAAAAGGAAAAAAGGAAAAGAAGAGGGCGCGTTTAAAGCCCTAATATTTGCGACCGACTCATCGGTCGCAAATGTCATTTAAATCGGTCGCAAATTTTAATTGTCCGACATCGTTTTAATATGCGCCAAAATTGCGACCGATCTGCGACTGAAATATGCGGTCGCAAAAAATCAGTCGCAATTTTATCTCATTTCGGTCTCAGATTGTGTCCCTTTTTTTTACGCGCCCATTTTTGCGACAGAAACAAAGTTGGTCGCAAAGCGGTCGCAAAATCGGTCGCAAATCCGCAGTAATCAAAATCGGTCGCAAATCCGCAGTAATTCAGTCGCAAACTGAAAGGCAATCCCGCGCGAGTTTTCCGCGCTAAAATCTGCGACTGTTTACCAATCAGTCACAAATTGGTATCCATATTGCGACCGACTTTTGTCGGTCGCAAAAATCGGTCGCAATTTGAAGTTTTTTTTGTAGTGTTGGTTTTAATTACAGTTCTTTTCGGTTAATATTAGTATCTTGAGTAGTAAATGACAAATTTGTTTAAGAGATGTTCTTGGTTTTAGTTACTGTTAGTTCTTGGTTTTAGTTACTGTTGTTTCAGTTAATATTGGTGTCTTGATTAGTAAGAAATGTGAAGTGACGAAAGTTGTAATTTTTGATGATTCTTCAAAGAAATCTTTGATCTTTTGGACCTTTCTTCCTCATTTTTGCAATCACTCTAGAAGGTTTTGTTGATTCTTTTTTCAGAATTGCATGTTTGGCTCCTTTGCCTTTCAAAGTGACAAAAACAGGGGAAAAAAAAAAAAAATACAATGATACTGCAGTCACAGCAGTGCGGTGCGGCGCCGCCGGAGAAGAGAACAGTAACCAGACGTTGACTGCCACAACCACAGAGTAGCTAACGAATGTATTTTTGTTCATTTTAATAAAGAACGTTACTTTTGTTTAGTAATTAATGTAATTAATAATTAATTATTAATCAAACGCCTGACTGAAGACGTTAAAAATTGTTTAACTGTTGGTAGTGGGTGGGGTCCATGAGTTTACCGGACGATAAAGTTAACTGGCTTTTCCACTTGTCCGGAATCAAAAAGATATCCTTCTCGATTCCGTTGCGTGTAAAGAGTCAAACCTTTGAAATTGCGACGATAATCAGAGAAAGAGAAGAGCTACAGTGACAGAAATGGGTCATGCAAGCTCTAAAGGTCTTCCAGATGCAAGCGAGGAAGACTCCTCCCGCCTTTCTCGGTTGAAGCAGAAGCTTCACATCAATCGTAACCACCACCATCGCCAACGTCTCCGTCGCATTTTCCGTCGTTCTCATGGAAACAGTTCAGGCTCTAGTGGTTCTTGTCTCAAACTCGTTTCTGCTGAGGATTTCGCTGGAATCGCGCTTCTTACTCTCGTTAGCGTATGTCGTATTTGTTTGTTTTCCAATTTTGAATTGTATTGAAGAAATGCTCTTATTCATGTGTGCTTTAAAAATTGTGAATTAAACTTGCTCTGATTATAGGCGGAGATGAAATTTAAAGACAAGTGGCTTGCTTGTGTTTCTCTTGGAGAGCAGACTTACCGTACAGAGATTTCTGATCAGTTAAGCGTCTCTATCTCCGTTTTCAAATTTGAGATCTGAAAGCATTCTTGTGTTTGGACGATATGCTGTGAAACTAATCAATATAGATCATTTTTGTTTGTGACAATTAAGTGACATTTACTCGAGACCAATGCATTAGTGGGTCCACAAGCATGCGACAGTGATTGAGCTTCAGTTTTATGCATTCTCAGTCTCAGGTTTTAGTAAGTTGGCCCTGTAATTCGGACTTAAAAAATATTAGATAGTACTGGACCGTACTCCGTTACTATTTGATGTTGGCTGGATCTGTAGAAAAGTCCCACACAGGGGTTACATTGCTTTCCAGGAAGACTGGAGCATGCTCTGGCCCTGAACAAGAATTTGGAATCCTTGGTCGACTTGCTTACATGCTAAACATAATTCCTTTATGATCATGGTATAAGCATATAACTATCAGATCAATGCTTAACTGTGTCTATGTTAAGTTACTTGCAAATAGACCTTCAATTATTTATACTTTAATGAAATTTTAGTAGTAATGAATTTAACTTTAGTGAAGGTTATTACTTTTGTGATCATTAGACTTTATTTATTTTTTTATTTATTTGGTGGCACTATTAAGAGGAGAACATATTTCAAACTAACATGTTGTCTGTGACCTGATATCGGGTTAATTTGTCAGCTTAATCTTCAAAATTTCTTGAAAGAATATATTGTCTTTTGAAATTTATGGCTTTGCAATTTTTTAATTACACAGTGTGTTGTTTGTTTTTTTATTCTTTTGCACTGCAGGACAGAGAAACCTGTTTGGAACTCGGTGAGTACTTTGACCAGTAGCTTTTCTTGTGGTCTCTAAAGCCATCCTCTTTTCTTATTTCATTTTCTTTGCTTATCCATTCGATTGAATAAATGCCTCCTGTGAGAGCTATACTATCATGTAATATGTTTAAACAAGACGCCTAATATACTGCATTAAAGTTTATTGCTTTCTAGCTGTAATATGTTTAAACAAGATGCCTAAAATACTGCATTAACATTTATTGTTTTCTAGCTGTAAATTTAGACATGTGTTTTTGTTGTTATAATCTTAATAAACTACACTGAATCGAAATATTATGAATATGTGTTCCTGGAATTGAAAAAAATGATGAACATTTAAGTGAAGCTCCAAAATTTTTTGCAACAAGCATATTAGGAAGAAATTTAAAGAGTTATTCAATGAAATTTTATGAGAGAAACATTTGACAACCATGTATGCAGTTTAAGGAAAAATGGAAAGGAACCTATTGAATATTTTTGATTTGTTTAATGAGTGTTCTGTTTACAAATTATGTTTAAGAACAGATTAGTTGGTTTCAAGTTTGGTTCTTTCCTGGTAAATCCTAATGATATTTTGAACATTCGTTATTTTGGGTGTTTCAACCTCACTCTGCTTCTTCCTATCTCTCAATGACATGTTAGTTAATTTTAATACATGTATGGAACAAGGTGCTGTTCCTTTTTTGTTATGGAGATGTGGAAATCATTTGAATATCTGCATTCAAATTTTTAGCCCTTCATAGTGTATAGCTTTTGCTGTGGCTACACTGGATCATGCTGTTTGCATTTGTTTATTTTGTCAAATTGAGGATTACTTAGGATTCTCTATTGTCTTGATGACAAAAAATCCTTCAAATGTTCTTTTCTTAATGATTTCTCATGAGAAAAATCTTCAGATTCATTAACAATTTCGTTTTTTCCCTTTTCCTTTTCCTTTTCTTTTTATCTTTTAACTTTTCTTGAGCATGTATCTTTAGTTTCTGGAATTGCATGTATACTGTTTGTTATTGGCAATTTTCCTGGAGATAAACACATGGTATAATGTCAATCGGTTACTAGGTATATTGATCTTTTTTGCATTGCATCTATGAAAAAGAATTGAGTTCATATTTCTTGCACAGGAGAAGAAACTTCTTTTGGAAAGAAATGGGCCTCATGTTGCTAGGATATCCGTATTTGAGGTAATCAAGTAATTAAACTTGATTTTACAGGATTCACTAGTTTGCTTCATACTAATTATCTTGTTGAGAAATATCTACATCTATGATTGTGAGGCCAGCATTAAATTCAGACAGGTAAAAGTGTTTTTTGATGAAGAGATGTCCAATTTGTACTGCTTTATTCCCAATGCTTTGGCAATTTCTGTCTTTTCCACAACCAACAAAAAGTTGATAATGGATCCCCTTCACTCAACAATCAACTTCTCCTTCCATCCAAACTCCTTCATGGGGTGCATTCCACTCAAAGTTGTAATTGGGTCATAAATCCTTCATTAGAGAACAGATTCAGTAGGATATGATTCATCAATTTTAATTTAATTTATAATCATTAGTCTTATACTTACAAGACTAGTTAGTTGCACATTCCACCTTATCACCAAATTTACACCACTTTGATTTGGGAAAGAATTGCTGGTTGTAAAAAGAAAAAATAATTTACAGGATGCCTAGCTGCAGTATTTCTTGCCTTGAAAGTTTGTAGTGGACACATGGTATGGGGAAACTATTTTTCCCTCATTATTTTGTAGCGCATTGTGCCCGTACTTCAGCTGCTAGGCTGACTTAATGGGTCTATTATTTATAAGCACAAGCTTATTCCAAGTCTTGATTGCTTTATCCAGAGTGTTGATTGCTTTGCATAGTTGATTTTTATTTTAAACTATATTTATTGGTTTATGTACTATTTCTGTCATAGAAGTGTGATTATAATAAAATTTCTATACTGCTTACTTTGTCAATTCACATATGGTGCAGACCAATAGAATATCAAAGAACAATATTGTTGGCTATTGTGAAATTGACTTGCTAGAGTTTTTAACACAGGTGAGCTACTTGACCATTAAATGAGTTCTCAATATTGGCATAAGTAATGGTTCCTTTTTCTTTTCCTTTTTTTTTTTTTTTTTTTTTGGCTACTTGACCATTAAATGAGTTCTTCAATATTGGCATAATGGGTAATGGTTCCTTTTTCTTTCCTTTTTTTTTTTTTTTTTTTTCCCTGTGCTGATAGAATTGACAGTAATTAATATAGTGAGATTTTTTTTTTTTTTTTTTTTCCCTGGCTGATAGAATTGACATAATATATAGTGAGATAACTGCTTGAGAAAGTAGTTTAATTTTGCTGTAAAGAAAGTCTAAAAAATGAACTAAAGCTATGTTAATATTGCAGTATGGGATTTCGAACTACCATTTTCTAATGTTGGAAACTGTTAAAACTAGGAAGAATTACAGATTTTGCATGAAGAAGCAGGGCACTGTTTTGTTTTTCTTTGGCACATTTTCATTGTAATCTTTTGCAGAATCACCATCTACATAGGTTTGGCGACTAAAACAAAACTGAAAATACATCTATTTATTGGATGATGGCTTGCTTATAAAACCATTGAGGGAAGAGTTAGAAATGACCAAAATATGGTTTGGCTTGTGGTCACACAGTTATGGTTATCTACTGTGGAAGTGCAGACGTAATTGATGTTACATAACACAGTCATTACTAATCATTTTCTTTTTCTAAAGAATATTAAAATTATATTGCTTGCTTTATGCCTAGATCGACCATAATGTGATTAGCAAGACAATCTTTTAATAACATGTAAGCTTAAGAAAAATCTATAGCATTTTTTATCATATATTTGACAAAATCTTTAACATAACTTTTGAAGTTTGCGGTGACTGGCTAAATTTTAGATTAACTTATTGGTAACTGGATCTATTCTAGATTTGGTGTGGCTCTCTGCAAACTATTTGTTTCTTGTTTTATTTATTTTTCATTTGACTTTTCCCCCTGGAATTTCATTTTGTTGCAGGATTCAGATTCTGACTTTGAGGTCTTTGAACTCTTTGACCCTTCCTCATCTGATATAGTTGTTGGCAAAATTTCCCTTTCATGCTCTGTTGAGGTTTGATATCCGCAACTTATACTTCAATTGAGTGGTACATATCATTAATTATTTCTAACATTATTTGAAAAATTTACAGGATCCAATTGAAACAGAGAAAAGCTTTGCAAGACGCCTCTTGTCAATTGTGGTATGACTTGCATTCTAGTCTATATACCTCATTGATTATTCTTCGTTGCATGGCAAGTTGCTAAGCTGTCGTGCTTCTTATTATGAATGTGATTAGACACACAGATGGCTGCAACCCTGTACTGTGGGTAACTGGGTATTGATGAGATTTGTTGGAAAATTTTTGTACTTCTAGGGAGTAAAAGTAAAGATATAGGGAATAGGGAGACAAATCTGAAGCTGGGGAATTAGGGAAGACAGGTTTGAGACCAGGATCAAACCATATTTTTCAGCCTCCCCTACCCCCTGTTGAGTTATAATCCCATCTGCCACTGCTTCCATGTGGCTGACATGTAGCAGTTATATTATGCAGAACCAGCTGTTCTACTGGTGGATTAACACTTGTACCCAAAACTAAAATGTAGATCATTATGTATATCTTGCAGATAGATAGACAATGTCTCAACCCCTCCCCTTCCATTAGGCCCTCATTTGATGATACACTACTGTCTGAACATTTTATTTTATGATAATATTTGTTCATGTTTAATTTTCTATTCCCAATCCCTTGTATCATGCATAGGATTACAATCAAGATGGGCGGCTTTCATTCTCCGAATTCTCTGACTTAATTAAGGCTTTTGGCAATCAAGTGGCAGCTAACAAGGTTTTGACCATAAGTACCTTCATTTTTCACTTTAATTCATTGCATATCTACTGACAATATTTTCTTTGGAATATATGCATGCTAGATGTCTAAGTTAGTGTGGAGTCTTAGATTTGGGTTTGGGACATGAATTTCAAAATTTTAGCTTTTGTGCTTTCAGATAACACCAAGCTCTGTGTTTGAATTTTTGTGTTCTTGAACTTGTTAATGGAATTTCTCTAGGTTCTGCTTTACGCATGTTTCTTTCAAATGAATTTGGGCTTTGAGAGTCAAATCTCTAAAACTTTCCTGCTAGTAGTTTTAGAATATTCTATATTTTGAATCTTGCTTTTTTAGGATTACATTCTCTTAGCATTATTTTTACCTTTTCTACTAGAAAGAGGAGCTTTTTAAAGCTGCTGACAAGAACGGGGACGGTTTTGTGAGCATGGATGAGTTGGCAGACCTTCTTGCTATTCAACAAGAAAAGTAAACCCCTTCTAAATTTAGAGGCAGTAAGCTTTAGCTATAGATTTTGTATATCAATTCCTGTACTTACATGAACTAATGGTTTACCTTTATCGGATGACTATATGTAGTCAGTGTTTCTTTCTCTTCTTTCCCTGAGGTTGGTGGGGGGAGGCAGTTTTGAAATGTTCTGGTCCTCCCATACTTACCCCCCAAATCCTCTTTTTTGTTTGTCCTATTCTTTCATTTTTTTCGTATGTGCAACATATTTTCTGCAATATGACCTTTTAGATAACTTACAATGTGGTCCAAATTCACACTTAATTCAGATCTATTGTTTAGTCTTTGCATCACTTGACAGTATCCTGAAGTTGTATTGATTGATTCTCACATTTTCCATTGTTTGAATAACAACCTGATAGTCCTAGTATCTTTTGGAATGAAATGGTGGTTGATTTCTTTCCACTATGGAGTTTCTGTTGATAATGATGGTTGGCAATCTGGGTCAGCCATGACAGATGCTTTCCTTGGGTTTTTAATCTGGATGCTGATTGATACAATTGTCTTGTCCATTGAACATGCTTAGTGGAGTTCAAGAAGACACCTGCATTCTTCTTGAACTCTAGCTTTCAATTAGTGAGTAATTATACTTTCCTGGATTATGTCTCAGTATTCTTTATGCTTGTAATCCTGTTGTGCAGAGAGCCTCTTATTAATTGTTGCCCTGTTTGTGGTGAGATTCTTGGAGTTTCTGATAGGCTGAACACTGTGGTACATTTGAGCCTCTGTTTTGATGAAGGGACTGGAAACGAAGCTATGACAGGAGGATTTCTGACTGATAAGGAAGCTTCATATGGGTGAGAACTTTGTTAATGTTAATCTCTAGAATTATATCTCCTCCTATTTCGATTCTATGTTTTTATATCAGTAAAGCAAAATTGAAATGTCCATTTGAACTATATTCTCATAGGTGGATGTTTAAACTGAGTGAGTGGGCACACTTTTCTTCATATGATGTTGGTTTGAACTTTGGGTCCAGTGCTTCACATATTCTGGTATGCTTTTTCGCTCTGCCTCCTCTCTGGGATCTCTCTCTGGAATGTTTCATCTCTCACATACAACACTTTGGTCTTATTCATGTGAGGTTTGGAATTGCAGCATTAGATGGTTGTTGTTTTGACTCATATTAACAGGGGGCTAATCACTTATGCCAGTTTACTGTCATACCCTGAACTGTAGGAGCAATCAATTTCAGCTTGATATTTGATTATGAGTTGTAACTTTGGCGAAATCTGGCCATGCTTAAGCATGCTTTTTGGCCACAATTGCAGCTCATTATTGAGAATTGGGCTACTATTGATTATTTTGTAATTCAGGCCATAATTGCAAAGTTGCATAAGAATTTCAGGATGTTTTGGTGATTAACCATAGAGACACATGCAAGTACAAGAAGTCTAAAGACTTAATCCTAGTTTTAATATAAATTACCAAAACACTCCTATTTTATTGCCTTGTAGAAAATTCATGCTTTGTTTACAAAAACATATATAATGCAACATAAACAACTAAAACCGTTTCCCATGTAACAGCCCAGACTGACCAAGATATTGTCCGCTTTGGGCCACAGGCCCACACGGTTTTGTTCCTGGGTGTTGACACATGGTAGGCCCGTACCCTCCTTACACCATGGCCAGACCAACCAAAAGGCCTCTCGGAACAAAAGTAGCTAACCTCCCTACCTGAGGAGCTGAACTAGCCAAAGTCATAGGGCAGTCTCGAAGCATATGCTCTATAGACCCACATCGAAAGCATGTGAGGAGCTGAACTAGCCCAACGTATGGGCAGTCTCGAAAGCATATGCTCTATAGACCCACATCGAAGCATGCCCAGAAAATCTCCTACAAACCCCCAGGATGCTTCTTTCCACACTGCAGTAAACCTATGTCGGAATATTCCAATTCCACGCAACCCTCCACCACTAGCAATAGATGTAGGTCTAGTGGAGCTGCTCTCACTATACAGTTACCCTGATCCATTTGTCTCCTGAACCGTAACTCAGGTCATATGTGCACCTCCATATCCATTACTGCTGGATGAGTCCCAGATAGTCTGTCCAGATGCAATACCCTAAACCTCCTTTTGTTGACCCTGCTGGACTTCCGTTTTTGTTGACCCTGCTGACTCCGTTGCCTCCTAGCCTGCTGCTCATTCCTAACTTCCTCAAGCTCTAAAGCTGCCTTCACTAGGGAAGACAATGATGTACAAGGATGAGCAACCAGATGCATTCTATATTCATCATGCAAACCTTTCCTGAAGCGCTTGCATCTATCTGACTCAGTAGAAATCATCTCAGCAGCATACCTGCTCAACCGGATGAACTCTCTCTCATATTCGGACATAGTCATTCTGCCCTGTTTTAACTCTAAAAACTTGGCTTTACGTTGGTCAATGTAAAGCTCCCCAATGTATTTCTGTCTGAACTCAGAAAGAAAGAATTCCAAGTCCTCTGCTCAACACTGACTGTCCGTGATACCGTCTCCCACCATTAGTAAGCTTCCTCCCTCAATAAGAAATTGGCACAAACCAAACTGTCTAGAGGTGAGCACTGCATCTGGTCTAATATCCTCTCCAAAGACTGGAGCCAATACTCTGCCGCAGAAGTCATATCATCCTTTCTACCCCTGAACTCAACAGCTCTATATTTCCTCAGTTTCTCAATAGGGGGACGAGCTGGAACAGGGGCTGGAGCAACTGGAGCCTAGAGAATAGCTCTCACTGCCTGCCTTAATGCAGCAACTAACTGCTGAACAAACATATCCTGGTTAGGCCCCGCAGGACCTGCAGCAGCTTGCCCCACCCTCGAGATGTGCTCTGCATTAGAACCCACAGCACCACTAGCGGCATCACCAACAGGAATACCACCTCTAGGAGGGACATAACTATCCATCTCCTCATCAGACAGATGTTGAGATATCCTACAAAGATCAAAAGGTTGCATCAGAGAGAATTTCCAAACCAAACCAATATGGCATGTATTTAACTTAAATTACTCATACTCTCACTTCAAAATAGATAAATTCCTATATATGCATATAGTCCATATAGTCCTAGAACCGCCTATAAACCTATTTGCTCTGATTCCAAGCGTGTAATACGCCCAGACTGACCCAAGATATTCGTCCCGCTTTGGGCTACAGGCCTGCACGGTTTGTGTTCCTGAGGTGCCGGACACCATGGTAGCTCGTACTTGTAACACCCTAGGCGTAGGCGAATCCCACATCGGTTAAGTGCAAGGTGCAAGTGATTTACATAAGTATGGACAGACCTTAGACTGTCAAGAGGCCTTTTGGGTGGTCTGGCCATGGTGTAAGGAGGGTACGTGTAACAGCCCCTGTTCCAATTTGTCCCCCTATTGAGAAACTGAGGAAATATGTAGCTGTTGAGTTCAGGGGTAGAAAGGATGATATGGCTTCTGCGGCAGTTTATTGGCTCCAGTCTTTGGAGAGGATATTGGAGTAAATGCAATGCTCACCTCTAGACAATTTGGTTTGTGCCGCTTCCTTATTGAGGGAGGAAGCTTAACAATGGTGGGAGATGGTATCACAGACAGTCAGTGTTGAGCAGAAGACTTAAAACTTCCTTCTTTCTGAGTTCAGACAGAAATACATTGGGGAGCTTTACATTGACCAATGTAAAGCTGAGTTTTTAGAGTTAAAACAAGGCAGAATGACTGTGTCCGAATATGAGAGAGAGTTCATCCGGTTGAGCAGGTATGCTGCTGAGACTGAGATGATTCCTACTGAATCGGATAGATGCAAGCGCTTCAGGAAAGGCTTGCATGATGAATATAGAATGCATCTGGTTGCTCATCCTCATACATCGTTGTCTTCCCTAGTGAAGGCAGCTTTAGAGCTTGAGGAAGTTAGGAATGAGCAGCAGGCTAGGAGGCAACAGAGTCAGCAAGGCCAACAGAAGAGGTTTCAGGGTATGGCATCTGGACAGACTTCTGGGGCTCAGTCCAACAGTAAGAGGCATAGAGGTGCACCATAGACCTGGTCTAACTGGTTCAGAGACATGGACATGGTACTTATGGTAGAGCAGCTCCACAGACCACATCTGTTGCTAGTGGTTAAGGTGCTGCGTGGATTGATATTCCGACATGTACTCAGTGTGGAAAGAAGCATCCTGGGGTTTGTAGGAGATTTTTTGGGGCATGCTTTTGATGTGGGTCTATAGAGCATATGCTTCGAGACTGCTCTATGACTTTGGCTAGTTCAGCTCCTCAGGTAGGGAGGTCAACTCCCTTTGTTTCGAGAGGCCTTTTGGGTGTTTTGGCCATGGTGTAAGGAGGGTACGGGCCTACCATGTGTTGGCACCCAGAAACAAAACCGTGCGGGCTTGTGGCCCAAAACGGACAATATTTTGGTCAGTCTGGGCTATTACATCTTGGTATCAGAGCCCAAGCCTTGCTCCTCTATCCGGTGGTGGGGCAAACCTCAGCGAGGACGCTGAGTCCTTAAAGTGGGGGTGAATGTAACACCTTAGGCGAATCCTACATCGGTTAAGTGCAAGGTGCAAGTGATGTAAGTATGGACAGACCTTAGTAATGTTAAGAGGCCCTTTTGGCGTGATTGAGCCTGGCTGTAAAGTAGGGTACGGGCCTACCATGTGTGGCACCCAGCAAACAAAACCTGTGCGGGCTTGGGCCCAAAACGGGACAATATCTTGGTCAGTCTGGGCTATTACATTCTTGCGTATCAGAGCCCAAGCCTGCTCCTCTACCCAGTGGTGGGCAAACCTCAGCCGGACCACTGAGTTCCCAACGGGGGGGGAGTAAACTGTAACACCCTAGGCGAATTTCCACAATCGGTTAATGTAAGGCTGCAAGTGATGCACAACAAGTTATGACAGAACCTTAAACTGTCCAAGAGGCCTTATTGGGTGTCTGGTCATGGTTTGTAAGGCAGGGTACGCCTACTATGGGTCGGCACCCAGGAACCAAAAACCGTGCGGGCCCTTGGCCCAAGTGGGGGGAGGTAAATGTAAACACCCTTAGCAAATATTCCACATTCGGTATAAGTATAGTGTGCAGTGATGTACACAAGTATGGACAGACCTTAACCTGTTAAAGAGCCTTTGGTGGTTGGAAGAGGCCTTTTGGGTGGTCTGGTCATGGTGTAAGGAGGGTACGGGCCTACTATGTGTCGGCACCCAGGAACAAAACCGTGCGGGCCCGTGGCCCAAAGTGGACAATATCTTGGTCAGTCTGGGCTGTTACATCCCAATTATGATAATTAAAATAGGGTGTTAAGAAAGAATTGGGAGTCTTCAGCATTTTCTTACATGAAGCAGTTACTCTTGGATTTTCCAGCCACAACCCAATCTGGCTGGCTGAAAATTCTTATGTTTGGCGTTTAACACTATGCCATAGCCTTTTATAACTCCAAATAAAATTACAAACCAGAACTTAATTAACCATTTGACTTTATATCTAAAGCTATAAAACCTAACTGAAGTTCTATGGGTATACCATGTTACAAAATCTCTTTTATGTTTCAAAAATCATTATATATTTGAAAGTGCATCTTAAATCCTATTCTCATGGCTGCATCAATTTTAATGGATTTGCTGGGAATATTTCCATTATTGATTCCATTATGTTAAAATTCTTTGTTTCTGCTTTAGGTATTTGATCGAAAGACAAAGAGGCTAGTGGAGGAGTTAATTGATGGGAAGATTGTGATGTCAATGAGAGCACTTTACCAATCAAAGATAGGACTTTGCCTTATGGATTCAGGTACAGGTTTTTACTGCAAATTCCCTATGCAAAGTTTGAATTCCACATTCCTTTGGAACCACTGTTTCCTGTGCTTCCTTGTCACTAGTGCATAGTTGATACTCTTTTAAGAAATCTACTTTCCCCTTGAACCAATCCTCCTCGTTATAATACTAAAATCATTCCCCAAGCCTCACTGTTGTAATTCAAAAGGAGGTTCTAAACACTTGGACATCAATACAAGAGCTATTGGATCTGTATCTACTTAGCTAGTTCTTTTATTACTTGAAGACTGACACTACATGGTGAGTTTACATGGATGCAGGGGCTAAAGAAATCCTGTATAAAATTTCTGAGAAGCAGGGAAGGAAAATGAACTCTGCTGAATCTGCAGAAGACATTCCAAAATTTGTTGAATTTTTTAAGGTGCATTGTTCTTTACTAGCAAATAGAAAAACCTTCAATTATGATTTCATTTAAATGCCATGGCTATTCAGTACCAATTGAAATGTTGTTTTTGAAGATCACCTTGGCTGTAGTTATGTCATGCAGTAATCTGGAGTCATGGGCTTTTGTCATTTTTAGCCTCCACTGCACCACTTTACTTTCATTTCATATTTATGCTTGGTGATAATATAACGAGAAATTTTATATTTTTTAAGATGTGAAATGAGCCAGTTTTACATATGGAGCTGTACTTCAGTGTATATGCAGTGGGATCTTTGTTAGAGGGATAGCTGCCCATTTTAAAAATTCAGATAACTTTCCTGAATTTAATTTTGAGTTTTCTTATTTTATTTTCTGTTATCTTCTTATTTTCTGCAGGTTTGCTGGTAATTTTTGTTTCCTTTTTTGTTTTGTTGCTAATGGAAGTTTTTCTAGATTTAGCTTTGTTTTATTATTACAATATACCTTGGCGAGTGGCCCAACTATAGACATATGACGCAATCACCGGCAGTTCGCTTTAGGGGAGGGCATATAAAACTAGTACAAATATGAACAAAAATTTTCTCCTTAACCTAATGAGGATGCGATCACCTCTTTCTTTCAGAAAGCCTTGTTCATTCCCTTCAGACTATCCAAAAAACAGCTCGTTGTACTTCATTCCTCTTTGCTCCCTTCCCCTAGAACTGCTGCTTCTTTTGTTTTGAAGCTTCTATTGGATAGATAATGGTGTAATAAGATGTGTGACCAAGTGGAATTTCATTTTAATGACATGTTGCTTAATCTTGAGAGCTTATCAAAGTGAAAATGACTGGGTAATCAACGGGTTAACTTTAGAATCTCAACCTCCAACTATACCATGAGGATTCTCTTAGCAAAAAGGATAATTTCTTTGGAGTTAAACACAGTTTGCTTATCAGTATGCTTTAATGTCATTTCCATCCCCAATATTCTCCTTTTTGGGTAGTTAGTACGTGTTCAATTATTTATTCTTGGTTGATTTGTTGTCGTTTGAATGTGGAAACATGCTCTAATGTCATGTGAATTAATGCACACTGTTCTTTTATATATTCGGTGTTGTAGGATCAGATCAAGTTGGATGAAGTCAAGTACCCTTTGGAACATTTTAAGGTAAACAGATCCTGATGCAATTCACTATGCACACTCCTAAATTATCTTTCTTTTGCATTGTATATGAGCTTCATTTATAAGAACATCTTTTCTGTTTCTGGATTACAATGTAAATCCATGTAACCTTCCCTGTTGTGCAGTGTGAGTCCATGTTTTAAATGCATCAAAGATCTCAAATTGCATCTTATGAACTTCAGTTGGCCTTGAGCGATCAATGAATCCTTGATTATAGTATTCACTATGTTGGGCATAAATGACTCTTAATGAATAGATGACTCTTAATCTCATGCATCATGCTCCTGTTGGCATTGTTATGAATATCAATAAATTGAGCAACATGGCTTTCTGGAGCTGGTCATCATATTTCGCTATCTCATCTGAGATCGAGTAATCCTAAGCAACTTATTTTTTCTTTTTTTGGGGAGAATATGAGTTAAACTTTATGTAATTCAGCTCATTAAGACTGTAACTGAATGTAAGAGAACCATAGATATCATTAACTTGGTGAAGTGACCAACCTAAAATATATCATCTGTTGTTTATTCTAGCCTTTGGGAGGGTTGATGGTTAGAATTTTTGTTAACATTGCCGAATCTGAAGACAGATTGTTCGTTTATATGGCTCTTAACTTCTATTTGTAGACATTCAATGACTTTTTCATAAGGGAGCTAAAGCCTGGTGCAAGACCAATTGCTTTCATTGAACGTGATGATGTTGCCATTTGTGCAGCTGATAGCCGTCTGATGGCATTTAAAAATCTAGAAGACAGTTTAAGATTTTGGATCAAGGTAATTCTACAACTTGTGTCTTAGAATTATGCTTCACTTTTATTCTCATTCCTCTGGCTTTTTAGATACAAGCAATTCATTGATGTCAAGAATCTTTTTTTCTTGCTTAATAATTGGTATGTTGTCAGAATAAGAATTTTTATGTGGAAGAGAGAACTTCTACATTTTGATAATTATGGTTCACCACCTGCATTCTGTATTGCCATTTATGTGGTGCTTTTGTGAAATAATAATTTAGACAATCTCTTCATCAGAACATGATCTAATTTTGTTAATTCATGTAGTTTTTGAAAAGAGACAGTTTTATTTCTCTATATTGTGTTGTTATTGTCCAATCTCTACCAAAAGATTGTTCCAATATAGGAAGTAATCTAAATAGGAATAAACCTAAACTAGGAAAGACAATATTTACTCTAATTACAAAGATTTCAACAATTCAAAGAAGAACTTGAGGTGAGTATAAGGTCCTAGACTAAACATTAATGAGGAAAAATCTGGTTATAGTTTCTCTCTCTCTCTCTCTCTCTCCCCGTCTCTCTCTCTCATAACTGAAACAGCCATATCAAAAGTATTGTGTTGTTACTTGGAATGTGGGAAATTATTGTAAGAATCAAGATTTAGATAAGTTTCTGAGTGTAGCTGTGTCTTTTTTCCTTTGTACATATTCTTTATACATTCTCATATATGAATTATTTAGTTATAACAGTTAATTTCTGGTATCATTTCTTATAATTTACAGGGCCGGAAATTTTCAATTCAAGGACTTTTGGGAAAAGAAATATGTCCTAGCACTTTTGTCGATGGAGCTTTGATCATTTTTCGATTGGCACCTCAGGTATTTGGTAAAAGCTGCCTGTGCTACTTCATTTTATGAATATTTGGTTTGGTAAGTTTTGAAAGACAAGAAGAGAACCTAGAGTTTGTTAGTTTCAAATAGTGTCTTTCGCTGGTGCCAAGGGAGGTCATGGGGTTTGAACCTCATGTCCTAGGGTGGGATAAGAGTAAGAATATCATTAATCTACACAAAAGGTGTTAAGAAAAGTAAAGAAAATAAAAGAGAGGGGAGGATAAAGTAAGGTATTGTTTTCTCATCCATGGTTTTTGGGTCGAGGAAATGAGAAGGTGATGGGCAGAGAAGTGTGAACTTTATGATGGTAGGACTACTTGCTACTGATCTTTGTGTGTGTCTGTGGTTCTCTTTCAGGTACTCAAGGAGAAACTATTTAGATTTCTTTCCACTTCATTCTCCTTCTAACTTATTTTGTTCTAAAGATGAACCATATATTCTCATCTTCACATCTATTGGCTTAATTTCTTTGCATTCTTGCAGGATTATCACCGTTTTCATTTTCCAGTTTCTGGAATCATTGATCAATTTGTAAATGTGCCTGGAAATTTATATACAGTATGTGCATCAATGCAACTTAACAAGCTTGTTTGGTCGGTTAGTGGTCAGTTCTTCTGTATATTAACAGATTGCATCACTTATGCCTGCATATTTTGTTTTCTCAGGTTAATCCTATTGCTGTCAATAGTGAGTATTGTAATGTTTTCACGGAGAACAAGAGAGTTATATCAATCATTTCGACTGCAGAATTTGGAAAGGTTTATTTGTTATAGTCTCATGACTTACAAATTTTAGTGCAGATGACAACTAGTGAATTATAAAAATATTTCATTTTAAAGTTCAAGGAATGTTTCATGATGTGCAAAAAGTCTTACTTTGCCTGTGTTTGAATCTAAGACTAGAGAATAATGTACATTGTCTTGTGTCATATTAATGCAAGAGAAACAAAGCAGCAAGCTTTGCATTCCTTGTAACAGTAATTTTAATATCTAAATCTGGTTAGCTTCACTTACCATTCAGATCTTCCTTATCTCAAAAGAGACACCTCCTGTTCCTTTTGAATTGACTGTCATTGGCACAATTTCTCTCTTTCGTTTTTGGTTAAGGTGGCATTTGTAGCAATTGGAGCAACTATGGTTGGCAGCATCACATTTCTGAAAAAGGAGGGTGACTATGTCAATAAAGGAGATGAGGTTAGCTATTATGTGTTATGTAATGTTTTGGGTCTAGGAGTTCTATTTATACAAATTTGGTTTTTCATGGAACTTCATGTTTGATATTACAGTTCGGATATTTCTCATTCGGTGGAAGCACAGTGATTTGTGTCTTTGAAAAGGTTGGTGCTCCATAGCTCCTTTCTAGATCTTCATCCAATGCAATTAAAATTTTGACATCCTTTTGTTATCTAGATGCAACGTTCTCTGCATAAGTTGCTGATTATATATTGCTCTTATTTTCATAACAGCATATGGAATATTGCATTTTTCTTAAAAGCTTGTTTGGTATAAATGAAATTATTCATTTACAGATTCATATTATAGTTGGCATAAATGAAAATATTATTTAGAGTATTACATTTTTTATATTATGAAAATGGCTATGCTTGAATAATGCTAAAAAATTGACAGAAATTGCAAATGAATTCTGAACTTAGCACGAGTATAAGCTACTAAAGCTAATTAATTCTAAGCACGGGCTAGTAGATTTGCATGTATAAAATGAATTACAGAGTTGATCCAAATTCGAAATTTCATTTGCAAATAATTTTTCCTTATGACATTCATTGCAAGTGAATGGACTTTTTTTTCAAATGATACGTAAACTTCATAGATATTCCCTATGATATATTGCGTTTGCATGTTTGCGCATATCACAATATTTCTGAATTTCATTAAAGAAAATATTTTGAGTGTACTTCTGCTTTCTAAAGCTTCAGGCTTACATATGCAGAAGCTTTTTTAACATTTATGTACATACATATACACAATTATAACATCTAATCAGGGGGTATTATGCAGGATTCAATTCTGATAGACGAAGATCTCCTTGCCAATAGTGCTCGATCACTTGAGACCTTAGTTTCTGTCGGAATGAAGTTGGGTGTTGCTACAAGGAAACAATCTGAAATTGATTTGCCCAACTTGGAAAATTGTGTGCTAGAAGCTTGAGAGAGCTCAAACATTTCACATGATTTGGTTCCATGTGTTGTGGAGTTCCACGCAAATGTCAAATATGCAAAGGTATTAGTGCTCATTAGTTTCTTCTGTTACTTTAAAGGATTAGTTCCATGGCTATCTTAATACAAAACTTTGGTGATTGTATTAGCTGGAGAAACTTATTCAACTATGGATTTTGATTTGTTTTTCAAATAAAAAGCATAGAAGTTTAAGTTTTGAAATTTAAATATTCAATATTGAAATGATTATATATCTACGTGACAGTAAAATGTATCAAAATGAGACCAAAATAGCATAGGTTGCTTTGGACTAAGATATCATTATCCTATCATTTGGAAAAAATATTACACAACAAATTCAATTCAAATGATTTATTACTGATATGTTTGTAGTGAACGTTTAAGTAGTGAAAATTCATATTTTAGGTAACATTGGTAGTGGGTTTTCATTGTCAAAATAAAAATTCAATCACCAATCTATCCCACACCTAGAAATTAACAAAGTATAATTAAATATGATTAAACTATGATTATCCATTAATTTTTTTGTGGAAACAGACCATCTAGTTAGTAATAATATTTACTTTTTTGTCTTTTATATTCTATAAAAGAAATTAGAGATTTCAAATTCAAAGTAATTCAAAGTTCTCTGTAAGATATTCAATGAATTAAAAAAAAAAAAAACACATAATTTATTTTTTTCAAGATCTGACTTATTTCTAAAAGTAAGTTTAAACTATAAAAATACCATAAACTTTATGACTTGTTGCAAAATTACTATTTTGACCTATGTACCTTACTCATGTCAATCTTAAAACTTAAATATATCGACACTCGCGAGTCAAAAGTGACAAATTTTAAATAAAATATTATATTATTAGTAGGACCCACTAAGATAATAAAGAGAAAAGAAAGTGAACATATTATCATGAGATTGAGTAAATATAAAAGAGGGAGGAGAGAAAAACGATGGCAACTGATATTGTCCTAGACCAAATGGTTGTTCGTGTAATATATGAAAAGTTTTAATTTCTCTCAAAAGATAAGTGGATAAAAAAACATTTCATAAAAACTGAGAATTACTAAATTGAGATTAAGAATAAAGTAATAGCTATTCACATAGCATCATCAATCATCAAGTGATACAAGTCATGGATCCTTAATTGTTGGAACGTGTGTCCCACCAATGTATTAGAAATGATACTTGGGATGGATGGAAACCTAAGCAAATTGCTTCTATGGTAGCATGGAATTTTCTTCTTCTAGCTCGACTTTTCCCTCTTTTTGTAGTCACATCTTACATAATGAATTTAATCCCAGCCTCACCTTGGATTTCTATATAAAAGGCACACTGAGCATAAATACCCTCTTTAATTTTTAGTCTAATAGACTAAATATCGTCCATAAGGAATCGGAGTAAGATGTGACAATTTTTTCCAAGAAATCCCCAGCAAAAAATACACACTATTCCTTCTTTTCAATCGATGACACTAAAAACAGTAACTTAAACCAAGAAAACAAAAACGATCACCACAATCCCATTTTCACCCCGTAATCAGAATATCTTATGCAAATATATTTCTGGGGTAGTCAGAACCCAATCACTCTGCAGAGTTCCCAAATGCACATAATCGATAATTTGTTTCAGAAAGCAATCATGAAACTAGTACAAGGCATAAGCATAAAAACAGGGAATGCAAAAGTGTCGCAAAACAAAGCAGTAGCACCAACAAAGAAGATATGAAATAGAACACAAGTTTACAATGAATTTCAAGTCTTAAGATTGGATCAGCCCCCTACTGCTTCGAATCACAAATAGAGTGCAGTCGACACGAATAGCAAGCATGATCAGTTAAACAGCAGGAAAGAGGATTATTATCATGCACTAAAACTTCTTACTGGAAACTTTATTGAATTATTACATGTGTAGACACAAGCAGCAAATTCTAAACAACACTAACTGTCAAAACGAATTATACACTGTCTAAGAAAATAGTGTAAATAACCTGCAATAGTAATCCATGATCTCAGGAATTGAAAATACTGGGGGAAAAATCATGATTGTAAATTAAGAGCCTTTAGTTGTAACACTGATTAACCTCCCTCGCAAGCTTATCCATGAACTGACATTTCCTGTCAAATCCCCAGCCAGGGTTGCTCTGCATTGAAAATTTAGAGATTGAAAAGTTCCAGATTATCTCAGAATCACAGACAAAACATAATTCATTATTGCACCCTTAAAAAAATGCATAACCATATTGTAAAGCAAATTTGTTTAAATCAAATAGGAGAGTACCATGTATCCACATCCACTACACAACATCGAAATATGCAGATGCCAAAGTTATCAGATATGGATCCAATATAGAGCATATAGCGTATTCGATACAATTATACATTATCATTAGAGGTGTCCTCGGATTTTCAGGAAGTATAGACCTACAAAAGATGAGAACAGCTTTTTTCTATTTTGACTAAATTCCTAAAGGAGTATGTACTAAGGTGAGAGGCCTACCATCAAAATAGTCTTTTTCGGGCTTAGTATATTCTCCAACTCCCACAGCCCCCACTCCCCAACACCACACACCGAAAAAATATATATGAGTGCATTTCTAATTTCAATAAACACCCATAACAAATTTCTAATCTGATGCAGAATAGACTGGGTATTAAAAACCCATCGAGCAAAAACAAAATCTCAATGCAGGTTCTATTGAAATTCAGCAACAAATATATATTAAAAAAAAAAATAAAATACAAAAGTGAGTAAATTGGTCTAGGGAGTTCTGTTCCAAGGAATCTGGTTGGAACTTACATGTAGCAATCAACAATAGTAAACAAATAAATAACCTAGCATTAGACCAGGGTCCCTACAAATCTGTTCTTGGGACTCTCAGGCATCATATGTAAGAAAAGGATGCACCGTTTAACATTACTAACCAAATACTCTAGGAAATTACTCTTTATTAGATTAAGGAGTTATTTGAACTGTACTGTGGGCCAACTAAATCTTAACTAAAATTCTACTGGTTTGTGTTTTCCTTAATTAAATATTGCAATCTCATTAATCACATGCATGTCAAAGTGGTACAATATGGTAGACTGCGGGATCTATCTTAAATTAGGAAATGTACTAGTGGCATATTGCAATGTTTACCATGCCTAAGACAGATTACTTGAAGGTTTTGGAAAAAATTCTCAACCAGGCTATTCTTTGTGACTTAAGCACAAATAACAAAATGGAAAAGAAAAAAAAAAAAAAAGACATAATATGGTAGACTGGCGGGATCTATCTTAAAATTAGGAATGTAACTTACGTGGCATATTGCAATGTTTACCATGCCTAAGACAGATTACTTTGAAGGTTTTGGAAAAAAATTCTCAACCAAGGCTATTCTTTGTGACTTTAAGCACAAATAACAAATGGAAAAAGAAAAAAAAAAAAAAAAGACATGGAGAGTGAATGCTAACCTGAAGGGAAAGAACCTCACGATCAGCAAAGCGGCTTCACAGAAGCAGGTGCACTTGCCAGGAATGAAGTTTTAAGCAAACTCTTTCTAACGTCCTCTTGTTTGTTAAAAAAAAAAAAAAAAAGACATGGAGAGTGAATGCTAACCTGAAGGGAAAGAACCGCACGATCAGCAAAGCGCTTCACAGAAGCAGGTGCACTTGCAGGAATAGTTTTAGCAACTCTTTCTAACTCCTCTTGTTGTTTCTTTGCCGTAACCCTGTCAGGTCCACTGTAGTAATCCACAATCTCTTTCAATAATGGGACATTCTTCATTGTTTCTTCAACAACTTCCTGGAGAAGTCAGAACATCAAAGACATATCAAACTAGCCAAATGCAGATGCTGCAGCCACTATAAATGAATTCCCTTATTGACTCACAAATATCCCAAGGTTTATAACCAAAACAAATTCCCTTATTTACTGTCATTCTGACTGGTTACCTAAAGCACGTGTAAAAGGGAACCTGTGTGAACATTGGAAAACTTGAATGGTGTGAACCATGGATCTATAGATTGGGAAGCTAACAACACCAGAAAAATACTAATGACATGGGCACTAACATATCAACAAATGAAGCATGGTATAAGCTAGTATAAGAATCGAGGTTTCATAATAACCAAAAAAGGTAGTTGTTTTCTGTAACAACCAAAACTAGTTCCCAACTTCTAATATATCGAAAATATAATGCAATAATGTTAAGGTGCAAATAAGCATATGGCTTAACTTGATCCATATAAACCAAGCATCACTAGAGAACAAAATATACCAAGAGAATACTAGTGACATTGGTCTAATACATCATGAATGAAGCACAAAAGAAGCTGAAAATAAGCTGGTAAGAGATGTTGAATTGTCAGAATGAAACAAAATAGGTGCAATAATGACTCCAAAATACATTCTTTTTGTGAGAGCTTCACTTATTAGTTAATGAACTAAACCAGGCTTAAGATGTTAACAAACAAGCATCGGCAAAATGATAGTCATATGTAAGAGAAGGGGAATTCCATTACCAAAACAACACATTACAGACTGCAAAAGTCAAAATTAAAGAATTGCAGAAAATGTTGCACAAATACATTGACAGCATAGGAATTGAACTTCAAGTAAGTCATAAATGAAAATGTAACTGCAACTACCTCCCACTCTTCTTGACTTTGGATTCCATCATATGCCATTATGAAGGGCTTCACCTTCTCCAGCACATCTCGGAGAGGTAAAGGCGGCTTCTCATCAATATCTGGATTTTGATCAAACTCTCCCATCAAATACTCGGGCTCAAATTCAATCTAACAACAGAAAGAACAAATATCACGCAATAATTACAAATCCATTCACCAAAATAAGCGATCAAAATCCATAAACAGATATAGATTATGATGTTTTGCAATCTCACCATATAATTAGTATGCAAGGCTTCCAAATAGGCATCCTGCATAGGCGAAGGCAGCACTCTTTCACTCATTTCTTCAAATCCTTCAATCAATTTGTTCATATTCTCAACACCAACCCTTTCCGCCAGCTTCTCACCATCAGCATTGTCTCCCAAGAACAGACCTGTAGCAAATTCTGGCTCCGAATCCTCCATTCTCCCTCTCTGATCCCATCTTCCTCTCCCTCTCCCCCTCCCTCTACCTCTTACCCTACTACCCCTTCCACGCCCTATTCCGCCACCTCCATCATCCTCACCCTGCTCTAGGATAGATACCGCCCTTCTCGTTGCCTCCTCAAGGCTAACTTTGGGCTTATCGGACTCGAGTCCTTTTCTGGAAGGGACAGTCCTAGGCCTGGGCGTGGAACGAGCTCCGATATGACGGTTCTCTTCCTTTATTTGCTGTGTAGAAGCAGCAACCGGCTTATCCGTTTTTCCACGACCAACGCCGGGTTCTACCGTGGGACGAAAACGGATATGACGATTCTCTTCATCTTCTTGATTTGTTGAAGCAGCAACCGGCTTATCCGGTTTTCCACGACCAACGCCGGGTTCTACCGTTGGACGAAAACGGATATGACGGTTCTCTTCATCTTCTTGATTTGTTGGAGCAGCAACTGGCTTATCCAGCTTTCCACGGCCAACGCCAGATTCTACGGCGGAAGGCAGATTCCCACGGCCGCGCCCGGTGGCGGATATAGAGGTTTTTAAGGAGGAAATCAAGGAGGAAAAGGCAGGGAGAATTGGAGGCCTACCACGGCCATGACCGATTCCTGCTGGTTGCTGCGGTCGATCTGAAGACTCAGTTTTTGAATCATTAGTGTCGGGCTTAGACGGTGCAGTAAAGTCGAATTGACCAGGACCGGAGATTGGGCCACCACGGCCACGGCCACGGCCCTGGCCGCCGCCGCCGCCGGAGTAAGTGGAGAAAGGAGATGATGATAGAAAAAAAGCCTGTCTGGTTGAGGGATTTGAAACTCGTTTAGCTATTGGATTTCCGATCATTTGGACGATTACAATATCCAAAGAAGGGAAAGAATAGTAGGGAAAAAAAATGATGTTCTGCAGAAAGTAATAGGGTTTAGGGTTTCCACACACTAACTGTAAACAAAGCAACGTCGTTTTCGTTGGTACACCGTCTCTTTTGATAATATTTATTAAAATATGAAACCCATAAGTTTTCAATTCTCTCATATACTAAGTACTAGTATTTCTGTTTGTGTCAAAGACTGGCCCTGCGTAGCGAAGGATTTATCTCTTATTTCTGGAATTCCTTTTATGTAGTAGTCATTCATCGAAGATATATTTAAATTGAATTCGAGTTTTTTTTTTTTTCCTTTTTCACATTGTACCTCCCTTTCACAAAATCAAATGTCTATATTCAAATGTTTTTAACCTCAGAAAGGATCTACAGCCAATAAAAGCTGGGTTCATGCCAAGAACCAAGAAGATCAGTAAACGTGCAGCAAGATAAACCCATCATAAGCAAATTATCAAAGTCATATTTATGGTTGCAATAATCAGGTGAAAATTATTAATTAATGAACATTTAGGGAATCTCAGTAATCAAATGCGTAATTCAATAAAGAACAATCCGCCATACTAAATCTAAACACCACTATAAATAAGTGCACTGGCTTTAACACCCAAAGTTCTTTTCTTTAACTATTGTGGGTTGCTTGCTGTTTGCTGCTTGGTTCTCTATATTCCTAAAAACGATTTCCTTATCACTCCACAAAGAGCAAAAGTTGTCTAGAAATGCAGTAACCCTCAGACCAGGCAAAATCAAATTTCTTATACACATCAGCAGCAAGGGGCACAAAAACTAGCCAACTATCTTGCCATCTCACTTGCTGTCAGTGAAATCTGCGTCAATAACATCGCCATCAGGTCCTTTGCTTGATGAATCTGAAGGTCCAGGCCCAGCTTCACTGCCAGGAGCAGGGCCAGCACCACCTGCACCTGGTTGGTTGTAAAGAGACTGGCCAAGCTGCATTACTTCTTGATTTAGGGCAGCCATGGCATCTTTCATTGCTTGTGTTGATCCATCGGCAATTGCATCCTTGAGCTCCTTCAGTTTTGCCTCAACCTTCTCTTTAACAGGGGCTGGGACTTTGTCTCCTAACTCTTTCAGTTGCTTCTCAGTCTGATAGACAACAGAATCTGCCTGGTTCTTTGTGTCAATGGCATCCCTCTTCTCCTTGTCCTCCTTTGCAAACTTCTCAGCTTCACTAACCATCCTCTCAACCTGAACAATTCATCCACATATCCTTTAAACTCTAATGTTGTTCTGATAAATCAAATGTGATATGCAGATTAAGGAGTCTAATTGGGGCAAGTTAGCTGGTTACCTGATTACCAACAACAATATTTAATGCTTAAAAATTTCTAGGACACTATTGTATTTATCAATTAACATACCATTTGCAACCAAAAATAATCAATATTTATCTCAAGAGTGATAATAAATGCCAGATTGTGCTTGGTGACAACATACCTCATCGCTAGGCAGAGTGCTAGCACCAGTAATGGTGATGTCTTGCTTCTTCCCGGTGCCTTTATCAACAGCAGTGACAGAGAGAATACCATTGGCATCAATGTCAAATTTCACTTCAATTTGAGGCACTCCTCGTGGTGCTGGTGGGATACCATCAAGGCGGAAGCTGCCAAGGGATTTATTGTCCCTAACAAACTCCCTCTCACCTTGAAGAACATTGATTTCAACACTTGTCTGTCCATCTGCAGCAGTTGAGAAAACCTCAGATTTGGATGTCGGCAGTGTAGTGTTTCTGGGAATGATTTTTGTCATAACCCCTCCAAGTGTCTCAAGTCCAAGTGACAATGGTGTCACATCCAACAACACGATGTCACTGACATCTCCAGACAAGACACCAGCCTAGACAGAGAACTGGAATATGTCAACTTCAAGAACAAATGACACCACAACTCAATAGTACCTAAAAGGTACATAACTAGTATAGCACGCAAGATTCTGTCAAGAGAGAGTAGGATTACCTGAACTGCAGCCCCTAGGGCAACTACTTCATCCGGATTGACAGTGACATTGGGATCCTTCCCAGTCATTTTCTTTACAAGTTCCTGTACAGCTGGGATTCGTGTAGATCCACCAACAAGTATCACCTCATCAATATCTTTAATGGAGAGTTTTGCATCCCTTAAGGAATTCTCAACTGGTGTTTTAAGCCTTCAAAAAATAAAAGAATAAGAATAAGATCATGACAAAATCATCCAAATTATTAACTGAGACACTCAGAATATGAATAGAATACCATACTAATGAACAAGTGAAATGCAGTCATACACCAGTGAGCAGCCAATAATTAATAACCAAGTAGCAATTATTGAGTACCTGTCCAGAAGATCAGAGCACAATTCCTCAAATTTGGCTCTTGTAAGGGTAGTCTCAATGTGCTTGGGGCCATCAGCTGTAGCAGTAATGAAAGGCAAACTAGAAAACAACATATTATCCCATCAGTCAGTCAAAACTTCGACTTGTCAAACTAAGGAAAACCGACAGGAACAGTATATATACCTTATGTTTGTCTGAGTCAAAGATGACAACTCCATTTTAGC